GGCGCTCTTGTCTTTGCTCTCCATCTCCCGTTGCGCTGCTGTCGGTCACGGAGGATGAAGATGCTGAAAAAGAAGATGAGGAAGACTGCGTCGGTCCTGGCTCGCGCTACAGCGGCGCACGGGGGCGCGACTCTCACGTGAGAGCAGCTGTCAGTCAGTTCACGCGCGGTCCGGTGCTGAGTGAGGAAGCGGCGGCGGCGGCGGAATCACGGGTGTGGCGGACGGTGTTTGTTGATGCTGGAGCGTGAGCGTGAGCGTGCGTGTGACCGGTGCTCGTTCCGCGCGCCGTTAACGGGAGCTGCCGCAAGCTCCGCCGCTATCAGACACACGGGCGCTGACGTCACAGCAGGTGTCATGTGACACCTCTTATTAACGGAGCCTTGCCCAGCTTTCATCTGTATTTTCCTCTCGTGATAAATCTGCTTCTTCTTTTAGGTACATTTAGTATTCATAAATGCAAATTTGAAGGAAAAAAGCCTTTGTTTTTACTTTTAAGATCAGAAATTCAACTATAGCCTATACCTAAACACAATACTGGGTTTGGAAAATAAGAAAGCTGCAAAGTGTGTTTTATTCTGTAAACATTTTCACATTTGTGTTTAACTTTTAACTGTAACTGTTTCAGTCTATTTGTCTTGGCTGTTGTTGTTACTTAATGTAGCTCCCTGACTGTAGTTGTAATTCTTTAAAATTGATAAAATGAAATTAATTTTTATTTTAAATAAAATGTGATCATGTGGTCAATCATCCTTATGGTATCAGATATGAGACCATTTCACAAGATGTAAACAACACTGGTCCAGAAACACTTCCTGTTTCAGTTTGTAAATGTTTTCTTTATTTCACATGTAAAGAAAACATCTTAAAGATGTTTGTTTAACTTTTTGATTCAGTTTTATATTTTCTGTTGGTTGTATTTTATACCAGCTTTTATGTAGTGTTAAAAAACTGAAACAGGAAGTGTTGGAACTAGGAAAATAAATTGCACCAATATAACAAAAAATACATATAAGCCATATAACAGCGTATACATATTTTTTTTTATGTTTCTGGTATGTTTTTAAAATTATTATAAAAATAATTAGGATATAATATCTGTATTTGTATAGTACCACTGTAGCATAATTGTAAAGTACTTGTAAATAAAACTATAAAACAAGTCAATTAAATATTAAAAATGTACACTGTTTTTATTAAAAACCATAATATTTATAAAAGCTGGATTTACACCACAGGGGACTTTAAACCTGAAAATAATAAAGTGAATCAATCAGTGTTAGATCTAAAATGACCTCAAAAAGCATCAACAAACTTCTCACTCACACTCACACACACACACACACACACACAACGCAGGTGGGCAGATAGTGCTGAGACGACAAGACACAGAAATAACTCTCACAGTTGTATATAAAAGCGAGCTGGATTATTTTAGTATTGAGCTGCTTAAGCAGAACTGAAACTCATGCACCGTCCACCTCGGGTCAGCAAGATATAAGAACAGCTTCAGCATTTACACACACAGCACTCCATCATTAAGAGCCACACTACTATTGTCCTGATAAACTTCTCAGCATTTACCTTTCTTAACGCCTGTGCACCTGTCCTGGAGAAAACCTCCATGCAAACGTTTCTCCTGCGGCGTCAGGGCTTTAATACAGTAGCAGAAGAGCATTCGCTGACGCCATTATGAAAGAAAAAAGTATTCTGACAGGCTGGAGATGAAGCGCTTACAACTATTGACTCCTGCTAAAATATACATTATACAGCCAACTTGGAAAAGAAATGACACGTGAAGAAGGATGCAAATGCCATAAATGGTTGCATGCAACTTTGATCTCATTCTTGCAGTCCAATTGTGTGTAAAAAATGGCCACTTTTGGCAGAATGAGAAGAAAGAAAAAAAGAAAGAATGAGTGAAAGAAAGAAAGAAAGAATGAGTGAAAGAAAGAATAAGTGAATGAAAGAAAGAAAGAATGAGTGAAAGAAAGAGTGAAAGAAAGAATGAATGAAAGAATGAGTGAATGAATGAGTGAAAGAAAGAATGAGTGAAAGAAAGAAAGAATGAGTGAATGAAAGAATGAGTGAATGAAAGAAAGAATGAGTGAATGAAAGAATGAATGAAAGAAAGAATGAGTGAATGAAAGAATGAATGAAAGAATGAGTGAAAGAAAGAAAGAATGAGTGAAAGAAAGAATGAGTGAGTGAATAAAAAAATGAGTGAATGAAAGAGTGAAAGAAAGAATGAGTGAAAGAAAGAAAGAATGAGTGAAAGAAAGAATGAGTGAGTGAATGAAAGAATGAGTGAATGAAAGAGTGAAAGAAAGAATGAATGAAAGAATGAGTGAATGAAAGAGAGAAAGAAAGAATGAATGAAAGAATGAGTGAATAAATGAGTGAAAGAAAGAATGAGTGAAATAAAGAAAGAATGAGTGAAAGAAAGAATGAGTGAGTGAATGAAAGAATGAGTGAATGAAAGAGTGAAAGAAAGAATGAATGAAAGAATGAGTGAATGAAAGAGAGAAAGAAAGAATGAATGAAAGAATGAGTGAATAAATGAGTGAAAGAAAGAATGAGTGAAATAAAGAAAGAATGAGTGAAAGAAAGAATGAGTGAGTGAATGAAAGAATGAGTGAATGAAAGAGTGAAAGAAAGAATGAATGAAAGAATGAGTGAAAGAAAGAAAGAATGAGTGAAAGAAAGAATGAGTGAGTGAATGAAAGAATGAGTGAATGAAAGAGTGAAAGAAAGAATGAGTGAAAGAAAGAAAGAATGAGTGAAAGAAAGAAAGAATGAGTGAGTGAATGAAAGAATGAGTGAATGAATGAGTGAAAGAATGAGTGAATGAAAGAATGAATGAGTGAATGAATGAAAGAACGAGTGAATGAATGAGTGAAAGAAAGAATGAGTGAGTGAATGAAAGAATGAGTGAAAGAAAGAAAGAATGAGTGAAAGAAAGAATGAGTGAGTGAATGAAAGAATGAGTGAATGAAAGAGTGAAAGAAAGAATGAATGAAAGAATGAGTGAAAGAAAGAAAGAATGAGTGAAAGAAAGAATGAGTGAGTGAATGAAAGAATGAGTGAATGAAAGAGTGAAAGAAAGAATGAGTGAAAGAAAGAAAGAATGAGTGAAAGAAAGAATGAGTGAGTGAATGAAAGAATGAGTGAATGAATGAGTGAATGAAAGAATGAATGAGTGAATGAATGAAAGAATGAGTGAGTGAAAGAATGAATGAGTGAATGAATGAAAGAACGAGTGAATGAATGAGTGAAAGAAAGAATGAATGAAAGAATGAGTGAGTGAAAGAATGAATGAGTGAATTAATGAAAGAACGAGTGAATGAATGAATTAAAGAAATAATGACTGAGTGAGTGAAAGAATGAGTGAAAAAGAAAGGAAGAAAGTGAAAAAGAATGAATGAAAGAAATGTTGAGTGAAAGGAATAAAGAAAGGATGAGTAAATGAATGAGTGAAAGAAAGAATGAGTGAAAGAATGAGTGAATGAAAGAATGAATGAGTGAATGAATGAATGAAAGAACGAGTGAATATATGAGTGAAAGAATGAGTGAATGAATGAGTGAAAGAGAGAATGAGTGAATGAATGAGTGAATGAAAGAATGAATGAGTGAATTAATGAAAGAACGAGTGAATGAATGAATTAAAGAAATAATGACTGAGTGAGTGGAAGAATGAGTGAAAAAGAAAGGAAGAAAGTGAAAAAGAATGAATGAAAGAAATGTTGAGTGAAAGGAATAAAGAAAGGATGAGTGAATGAATGAGTGAAAGAAAGAATGAGTGAATGAAAGAATGAATGAGTGAATGAATAAAAGAACGAGTGAATGAATGAGTGAAAGAATGAATAAAAGAATGAGTGAATGAATGAGTGAAAGAGAGAATGAGTGAATGAATGAGTGAATGAAAGAATGAATGAGTGAATTAATGAAAGAACGAGTGAATGAATGAATTAAAGAAATAATGAATTAAAGAATGAGTGAATGAATGAGTGAAAGAAAGAATGAGTGAAAGAATGAGTGAATAAAAGAATGAATGAGTGAATGAATGAAAGAACGAGTGAATGAATGAGTGAAAGAAAGAATGAATGAATGAGTGAATGAAAGAACGAGTGAATGAATGAATTAAAGAAATAATGACTGAGTGAGTGAAAGAATGAGTGAAAAAGAAAGGAAGAAAGTGAAAAAAATGAATGAAAGAAATGTTGAGTGAAAGGAATAAAGAAAGGATGAGTGAAAAGAAATAAGTGAATGAGTGAAAGAAAGGAAGAACGAGAGAAAAAATGACTGACTGAAAGAAAGAATGAGTGAAAGGAAGAAAGAATGAGTGAAAGAAAGAATGAGTGAATGAAAGTATGAGTGAATGAATGAGTGAAAGAAAGAAAGAGTGAATGAAAGTATGAGTGAATGAATGAGTGAAAGAAAGAAAGAGTGAATGAAAGAAAGAATAAATGAATTAAAGAAATAATGAGTGAGTGAAAGAATGAGTAAAAATGAAAGGAAGAAAGTGAAAAAGAAATGAGTGAAAGAAAGGAAGAAAGAACGAGAGAAAGAATGACTGAAAGATAGAATGAGTGAAAGAATGAATGAAAGGAAGAAAGAATGAGTGAAAGAAAGAAAGTGAAAAAATAGTCAAAAAAGAATGAGTGAATGAGTAAAAAAAGAAAGTGAATGAGTGAGTGAAAAAGTGGAAGAATGAGTGAAAAAGTGAGTGAATGAAAGAATGAGTGAAAGAGTGAATGAGTAAAAGAAAGAGAGAATGAAAGAAAGAGTGAATGAGTTAAAGAAAAACAGTACGTGAAAGAAAGAGTGAAAAAAAAGAATTAGTCAAAAAAGAATGAGTGAAGTGAAAGAAAAAAAATGCAAAATTCCTCTACTGACCAAAAATAAAAAAATAAATTGTGTGTGTGTGTGTGTGTGTGTGTGTATATATATATATATACTGTATATAGTGACTGAGGATATGCAAAACAGAATAATCAGGCTCGTTCTCACATATTTCTGTACAGCTTTATTTAGCAAACACAAGTTGAAAATGCAATGCAACACTGATCCAGAGCAGATGTTTATTTTGCTGAGGTGTCCATAAAGCAGAAATCTAAACATGTACATACAATTCATGTGGACATCAGTCTAATGATGACAGCTGCAATACATCAACATGTTCTGATATGCCCTGATTCAGATATAAAGAGAAACACAAGTGGTCGGGTTGAAAAGAGTCTTCTAGTCTCTTACACCCCATTGGTTGATTTTAGTGATAAGGCATTACGATTGGTCCCTGTAGAGCTTCAAGATTCATGATTGGTCTGTTATGATCGGTCCCTCCTACCAGTTACATGTAAAGATATGCATGTGTGAATAACTAAATGAGTGCACATCACATGATTGGTTGATGCTGATAATAAGTGGGCGGAGTTTATTACAGCAGTATGTACACAGTTACAACACATGATCAAAATACTAAAAAAAAATTACAAAAACTAAAAATATTAATGCACCCATCATATTTAGCAGCATATGCATATAAAAGAAAACAGTGTTTTTTAAGAGGTGAATCTCATGAAACCAGTTCTCAATGCAATGCAAAAAAAAAAAAAGATTTTTTTTACAGTAATGAGAATCTAAAAAGAATAAAAAAGGGGGTTAAAATGCGTTTAAATATAATTTTCTTCATGCAAAAATAAAAATGCTGATATCTTTGGGCTTGTAAAATGTTTTCATGAGATTCACCCAAAGAGATTTTGCTTTAAACGAAACATACATCCATCATCACAGGGAGTGTGTGTGTTTCTGTGCATTTTTATCTGGAGTCTTAAGTGTGCAGTTTGTGAGAGAAAAAGTTCAGCCGGTGTGTTTGTGAAAACGATGGTGTCTAAAGTAGTGTGTGTACAGTATAATGTTACAGTGTACTTACAAGTAAAGCGTATAAACACATTTAGTCTAATTGCACTTCTGAGTGGAGTTATGGGTTTCCTGTTTTTCACATGAACCATGCACAAACCGTCCTCCCCCCACATCCTTCCATAAATCTCTCTCTCTCGCTCGCTCTCTCTTCCCATAAAACCTGTGTGTCTGTAATGGGGAGGAACAGATATGCGAGCACTTCTTTAACTGAAACAGGAACATGTCCTTTTTTTTTAACATCATATTTAGTGTCTGAAGCGTTTAACAACTGTGCAAAACACAGCTTTCTGCTTCTGAAACTCATTAACATAAAGCAGTCACCGTCCAATCAGATCAAGGGGTGTGGCTTTAGGAGAATTTATCAGATGCAAAGGTGTGTGATGTCATCTGTAGGCACCGTCCAATCAGATCAGAGGGCGTGGCAGATTAATTTCTCTATGCGAGGGTGAGGTTGCCGGAAGTGGTCTGCAGTCAGCAGCCAATCAGATTTGTGGGTGTGGCTTCAGAAGAATTTGTCACCGTCAACTGCAGTCAGCGTTCAATCAGATAAGTAGGCGTGGCTTCAGAAGAATTGGGTACCGATGTGAAAGTGGTTATCTGCAGTCCGCAGCCAATCTGATCAGTGGGCGTGGCTTCAGAAGAATGTCACGATGCGAAAGTGAAGTCATCTGCAGTCAACGTCCAATCAGATCAGTGGGCGTGGCTTCAGAAGAATGTCACCGATGCGAAAGTGAGGTCATCTGCAGTCAACGTCCAATCAGATCAGTGGGCGTGGCTTCAGAAGAATGTCACCGATGCGAAAGTGAGGTCATCTGCAGTCAACGTCCAATCAGATCAGTGCAGTGGGCGTGGCTTCAGAAGAATGTCACCGATGCGAAAGTGAGGCCATTTGCAGTCAACGTTCAATCAGATCAGTTGGCTTGGCTTGAGGAGAATGTCACTGATGCGAAAGTGAGGTCATCTGCAGTCAACATCCAATTAGATCAGTGGGCGTGGCTTCAGAAGAATGTCACCGATGCGAAAGTGAGGTCATCTGCAGTCAACGTTCAATCAGAACAGTCGGCATGGCTTCAGGAGGATGTCACCGATGCAAAAGTGAGGTCATCTGCAGTCAACGTCCAATCAGATCAGTAGGCGTGGCTTCAGAAGAACTTATCATCAATGCGAAAGTGAGGTCGTGTGACGTCGTCCGGGTTGATGAAGACGGAGATGGACTTTCCAGGATTCTCCGTGACCAGTTGCTGGAGTTTCTTCGCGAGCCGGTCGTCCGGTTGCTGATCGCCTCCGGGGTCCGACAGCGGCGACGGCAGGTTCGAGCTTCCGCCGCGCCATTGAAGCTCAAGTGTGAGCCGCGAGGCAGCTTTAGCGTGCTCAATTGCGCTCCGCAAGTGCTCCACTGGGTCGGAGCGTACAGACGATAACTTGCGCGCATGTAGCATAGCCGTGTCGTCGCTGAGGTGCTCTAGCATGTTGCATTGAGGGATGAAGTAATTCGGGCAGGTCTTATTAACCAAGCAATGCTGCAAGTCGTCGATCAAACCTAGCAAGAAGTGCGCGGCATAGTCTTCCTGTGCCAGGTACGTGTGCGGCAGGCGATCGCAGGACCAAAGCATTAGCGAGCGCAGGTGGTACGGGCTGATGGCTTTGGGTCGGGACAGCAGCTTAATAATCAGAGCTTTGCAAGCTTGGTACGCCTGCATCAGACTCGCGGAAATGCACTTCTTCAGCTGCACCTCGCTGCGCGCAAACGACAAACGCCATTCGTTTTCCTTCTGGCCTGTAGAAGAGCATGCGGGCAGCAAATAAAACCCACTTATCACTTCCTCCTCTGTGATTTTCCCATCCCAAAAATGGTTTTCCATCAGCCAGCTTTGGGCCACCGCGGGCCAACCCTTGAACGAAACCACTGGTACCACGTCGTATAGCATCCGACTGCCGCCGACGCCCAAGATGATGGAGATAACCGTCGAGTTGCGCTCTACTTTCTCGACCCGGGGAACGCCACGCTGCGGTTTCTTCTGAATCTCCGCCAAAACCAAACTAATGGATTCGTAGAACCAATCGGCCACCAGCGTGGGAGAGAAAAAGTAGTTGGTTGCGCCGTTAACGTGGTCGATCACAGTGCAACAGTCCTTCCACTTGTTTATGGTTCCCTCGTCAAACAGTCGCAGGCTGAGCCAGGAGTGGCAGAGCGCCGAGTGACGCATGTCCAACGTGACCGGCTGGTTTCGGTCGTGGAGTTTGAGCGCGGGAACCAGCAACGTGAAGTCCATGTCGTAATCCGCTCCCCTCGCGTACACCGTCAATTCGTCCAGATCCATGTCAACCACACCCTCCCTCACCCCGCCGGACAACAGCAGGTACTCATTGGCAACTGGAAGCTTCTGGTCCAACTTCTGCACCATGCCTGAAAACAGGAAATGACATCATTAGAGAGGGACACATGCTGTTTTTGGCCCTGTCGCAAATGGAAACCTACCCTCTATCTCAATGTCCATACAATCCATCCTAAACAGTGTTTGAGACGATCCCCGGATGACCTACTATTTCCAGTGGATTTGCAAAGCGTGGATCCGTACTCACTATAACAGCTAATATTACCCACAACCCATTGCGCTTTGGAGGTAAAACTACAAACACGAGTAAAACGTGTTAGAAAAAACTACAAAAATGACAGATGTGAACAACCGACAGTGAAACCAACTGAAAAGTAACGCGCTTCTACATTTCTCTGCGATACAGAAGAGAATGAAATAAAATGAAATGTGGAGGATTTTATTTTTGACAAGATGATTGACAGGCCAATTTACAGTGACAAGATGATTGACCGGCCAGTCCACAGTGACAAGATGATTGACAGGCCAGTGATGCGACAGAGAGCAACTGTTAAAGACGCAATTGTATGACGTGACAGTTTGTCCCAAATCTTGTGTACACTTTTGCTACACACTTAAAGTATCAACTTTTTCTTCACAAAATGAGTACATACTATAAGTAGCCAAATTGAGTTGACTATGGCTTAGCGGACAAACATATGCGGTGGCCATTTTAAGTCCACAACACTGCAAGTGTTCTAAGTGTGATATTTGGGACAAGACCTTTATGTCATTCGTTTTCTAATTTTGTCAAATTGTACAGGCAAACATAAATGTTTGTGAAAACAAAGTCTGAAATAGTATCTAATATAGTACAATTTGGAAGTTTGATGGAAACCTTTACTTCTTCCACATCGTTTGTTTAAAATCTAATCTTATTATAGCTGATGTTTCCTGGGCGCTTTATTAGTTCTTCAGTATTTTGGAGTTGAATTAAATCTGCATTCAATCAGTGTAATTTTTGTGCCACTAACATAATAAATAACAAAATAAGTCAATAATTACATTTAAATGAATGCAAAGAAGATTACAAATTTAACCTTTAGAGTAGTGATATAGGTTTTGCACATGGATGCACTTTGGCATTATGAGCAAGTAATAGTTTCTGTGCTGTGTTGCAATTACAGTAATTCTGACGAGACGTCAGCGCAGCATTAGAGGGAATGAAGGGCGTTGCCTAATGAAGCAAACTTCATAATAAAGCATAATAAAAAAAGGTTAATCTTTAATAACAAGATCAACAGAGCAAAAAAAAAAAAAAAAACTATTCCTACACAAACACAACGAACACTCCTGACCAGATGCTATAAACACACTCTTAAAGAAAATAATCCCCGGTGTCAGATGACGTCACACCTGAGCTCAACCTCGTGAACCAGCGAGTGACTCGAGGGCATTCAATCTGCCGTCGGCAGCAGAAGCAACTCTAGAGAATCTCAGAAAAACGAAAACAAGTTAGTGACTCTGCATGAGCGTGTTTATTTTGGGCCCTGCACATCTGTCACACTCCTCCGGTGAGGCCACAGTCAGCAATACACATTCAGCCATTCATTTTAACACGTTTTCCACTACCAATACAAGTGCAGTAAACTCAGCTAAACATGCAAATGTGATTTGAAGGGGTCTTGACATCTTTTTTATTATTATTTTAATACGTTATTTGAGGTTCACTTGCTGACATGAGCAATATGTTTTAATAGTACAAAGACCTCTTATATGACAAAAGATGGAGGCTAATTTGATTTCTCATGTCATAACCCCTTCAAAAAAAAAGTGCACACTGTCAACTTTGATTTCATCCTCTCCACAGATCTTCCGGTCTGTGGGCGCACGGCTGAGTGAACATGCGTGAGGCGGAGAGCCGGCAGACGTCCGGCTCTGCTCCGCATCATCGCTCTTGGGCTCCTGGGTGGCTCGCCAACAATGAGATCTTCTGCTTCACTTCTGCTCACCGCCTCCGAGAACTTAACTCTTAGATAAACAAAGCTTAAAACTTATCTAGAAGTGCTTTTAGTGATTTGATTGTTTGATTTTAGGTTTGATCTGTATGTTTATCTTTTTGCATAGTTTTGCATTTTACTTTTATGTAGTCCTTGAGTGCCTTAAAAGCCGCCTTTAAATAAAAGGTATTATTATTATTATTACTAATTTGGTGCTACTAATCCCTGCTGGTCTGGTTAACGATTTTAATTTGAGTTCATAACCATTTACAACATGAGGAATCGGCATGCTTGCACATTTTTTTATTTTTATGAATTTATTCAATTTAAGCAGGTTTTGTGATTTTTTTATGCATTTTTTAGATTTGGCAGAATTTTCATTTATTATTATTTTTTAGTTTTCACATTTGCGTTACCACAGAATGTTCTTTTAAGATAATTAAGCGTAAAGCAATAGGCTAGTTTACCCAAAATGAAAATCCTGTCATTATTTACTGAATATATTCAGTGAATGACGACTTAAATTTAAATCTTAAAGTGTTTGTTTCATCTAAATGCACATTTTTGTTCATTTCTGAAGACTGTCTGACCTTCCACTTTCAATGAAAGCAAAAGGAGAAGCGTGGATATAGTGCTCAACACTATATATATATATATATATATATATATATATATAGTGCAATATAATGCTCTTTTTGTCTCTGTTGGCTGAACGGTTCCTTCAACAGGAAATACTATGACCGGATTTTAACAGGTCATAAATGAAGCACATGAATAATAACAGTGTAAACATGAGAGTGTTGAACCTGCAAACACACCCATCCACTGCTCAACACACACTGAAGCGCGAGACAAAAAGAAACACATGCAGTGGAGAAGCAAAAACGCACTTTCCCCTTTAATGCATGGCTCGATACTGTATCAGTGCACGAAGCATTGATCTTGCTCACCGAGCATGGAGAAGATGAAGTCCTTGGCCGTGTGGATCTCGAGCGCACGCTGATCGTCATACTCCCGTTGCTCGTGTTTGCTGAATTCTCCGATCAGTCGGTTGAGCTCCTCGATCCTGGTACCGGACCTGAAGTCCAGCTCGGGGGGGTTCGGGGCGTGTTTGGTGCTGCTCGGGGTGGCGGTGGGGCTGTTGCCAGCAGAACCAGCCCGGCTGGAGAGCCCAGGCGCCGCCATGTTCGCGAGGAGACGGTGAATCGCACCGGAGCGCACGCGCTGTACTGGCCGAGCACCGGAGGGCGTGAGTGATGATGATGATGATGATGATGCACACTAGACGATCGGGCGGAGGAGCGGAGATTTTTTTGGCCCTTCTTAGACAAAGAACTGCTAAAACATTGCCCAAGTCAGTTAAATATCATAAAAGCAAATGCGAAAAGCTAAAAAATAAAATAAAATTGTAAAACTGACAAATCTGCAAAATTATTGAATTTAATAAAAAAAAAATTAAAAGGCAAAATACAGTTGCAAGTATGCAAAAAATAAATTAATTAATAAAGCGTTGCCAAAAAATATAAAATTAACAAATCTGCAAATTAATTACATTGATAAAAAGTGGAAGAAAAAAAAAACGCAAACCAAAATGCCAAAAATAATTAAATTAATAAATAAACAATAAACAAATGATATAAATTATTTAATAGATTAGAAAATCTTAAAATGAAAGCAAATGTGCAAACCCTTACTAAAGTAATAAATGAGTACAGTTAAACAAGTATTTAAATTAATAGATGAACAAACACTTACACAAATTATTAAAATACACAGATGTGCAAGCATGCACGTAAAATAATTAATTGATAAACTCTCACAAAAAAGAATGAATTAATAAAATTAAACATGCCCTAATTAAAAAAACATGCCCTAATCACAAATGAATTCAAATAAAGAAATAGATAAGGACATTTTTCCCCACTTATCTCAATCATGGCAAAATGTGCCCCACTTTACCTGAATTATTTTATTTTATTTTATTTTATTTTATTTTATTTTATTTTATTTTATTTTATTTTATTTTATTTTATTTTATTTTATTTTATTTTATTTTATTTTAAAAGTGTGTGTTTCAACGACCGTCTTCCTCCAGGAGAGGCCGCTGTGGGTGTTCTCTGACCAGGAAGCGGAACCGGAAGAAGAAGCGAAAGCAGCATTGGGATCGCAGCAGTGATGATGGCGGTGAGGGGTTTAGTGTTTAGATGGGTTACAGGGGACATCAGCAAAACACACTATCTGACGAACAGGTAAGAAACACTCCTTTGACTTGTGTTTATCAGATCATGCAATAATGCTTGATCTTAAAGTATTCAAATACTCTAATGGAATGAATTTAATAATAAACACTTCATAAGTTTATTTTCTCTTCAAAAACACTTACGAAATTGTGTTTAAGGTTAGTTCTGTCTTGGCATTTGTAAATGTAAGATGTAAACAATGAGTTTTGATTCATTTTATGATACAGTAAATAAAAATGGACATTTACATTATGACAATATAACTTGCTTCAGAAACCAAGGCTGTGCAACCATTAGTTAATCGATTTTTTACGGTGTATAATTATTTTGTATATAAATACAAGTAATATGTAAGACATTTAAGAAATATTTGAATGACTATATGCTGTATATTTGTACATACTAATTTATATTGAATAAATATACATTTACAATGCTTAAATATATTGTGTATAATCAACACATTTTTCGTAAATATATGCAATGCATATATATATATGTTTTTATATGTACAATATAATTATACACACAGTGTACACACACATGTAAACACACACTTATTTTGGATGCGATTAATCGTTGCCCAGCACCAATATATATATATATATATATATATATATCACTCTAGTAAATCATCACATTACTGAAAATGAATATGAAAAAATATAAATATAAAAAGTCTATTTCTTTTAATGTTTCCCACATTCCACCCACTGGCAAATCAAATCACTATTAATGCATTTTAATGCTATATTATATCATGGTTGTGCTCCACATAGATTGACGCTCCAGACGCAGCAGAGGTGTGGCTTCCGCAAGGTAGCGAAGAAGGGCGAGCCGAAGAAGGGCGTGGCGGAAGAAGCAGAGACGAATGAAATCTTACACAAGAAGGACGTGGCTCCGCCCCTAGACCCGCCCATCCCACACACACCTCACACACCCAGCCGGTCGTTTGGCAGACTGGTCAAACCATTTGTCTTCACCATAGGGGTAAGTATATTTTCTGACACATGATGAATGTTCATGAAACATTTATAAACAAAAGTATGCATAAATCTTTTTAAAAATCCATTCGTATTTGATCTAGATTCTGATCTGGTTTGTGCCGTTATTTAATCTGGATTCTGATCTGGTTTATGGAGTTATTTAATCGGGATTCTAATCTGGTTTATGCAGTTATTTAATCTGGATTCTGATCTGGTTTGTGCTGTTATTTAATATTGATTCTGATCTGGTTTATGCCATTATTTAATCTGGATTGTTATTTGGTCTGTGCATTTTAAAAATCTGTATTCAGATCTGGTTTGTGCACTTATTTAATCTGAATTATGATCTGGTTTGTGCAGTTATTTAATCTGTATTCTGATCTGGTTTGTGCAGTTATTTAATATGGTTTCTAATCTGGTTTATTCAGTTATTTAATCTGGATTCTGATCTGGTTTAAACATTTTTTTAATCTGGATTGTTATTTGGTTTGTGCATTTTAAAAATCTGGATTCTGATCTGGTTTGTGCAGTTATTTAATCTGGATTATGATCTGGTTTGTGCAGTTATTTAATCTGTATTCTGATCTGGTTTGTGCAGTTATTTAATATGGTTTCTAATCTGGTTTATTCAGTTATTTAATATGGTTTCTGATCTGGTTTATGCAGTGATTTAATCTGGATTCTGATCTGGTTCATGCCGTTATTTAATCTGTATTCTGACCTGGTTTGTGTAGTTATTTATTTAGTCTGGATTCTGATCTGGTTTGTGTAGTTATTTATTTAGTTTGGATTCTGATCTGGTTTATGCAGTTATTTAATCTGGATTCTGATCTGGTTTGTGCTGTTATTTAATATTGATTCTGATCTGGTTTATGCCATTATTTAATCTGGATTGTTATTTGGTCTGTGCATTTTAAAAATCTGTATTCAGATCTGGTTTGTGCACTTATTTAATCTGAATTATGATCTGGTTTGTGCAGTTATTTAATCTGTATTCTGATCTGGTTTGTGCAGTTATTTAATATGGTTTCTAATCTGGTTTATTCAGTTATTTAATCTGGATTCTGATCTGGTTTAAACATTTTTTTTAATCTGGATTGTTATTTGGTTTGTGCATTTTAAAAATCTGGATTCTGATCTGGTTTGTGCAGTTATTTAATCTGGATTATGATCTGGTTTGTGCAGTTATTTAATCTATATTCTGATCTGGTTTGTGCAGTTATTTAATATGGTTTCTAATCTGGTTTATTCAGTTATTTAATATGGTTTCTGATCTGGTTTATGCAGTGATTTAATCTGGATTCTGATCTGGTTCATGCCGTTATTTAATCTGTATTCTGACCTGGTTTGTGTAGTTATTTATTTAGTCTGGATTCTGATCTGGTTTGTGTAGTTATTTATTTAGTTTGGATTCTGATCTGGTTTTTGCAGTTATTTAATCTGGATTCTGATCTGGATTGTGCAGTTATTTAGTCTTGATTATGATCTGGTTTATGCAGTTATTTAATCTGGATTTTGATCTGGTTTGTGCGGTTATTTAGTCTTGATTATAGGCTGGATTGTGCAGTTATTTAGTCTCGATTATGATCTGGTTTGTGCAGTTATTTAATCTGGATTTTGATCTGGTTTGTGCGGTTATTTAGTCTTGATTATAGGCTGGGTTGTGCAGTTATTTAGTCTCGATTATGATCTGGTTTGTGCAGTTATTTAATCTGGATTATGATCTGGTTTGTGCAGTTATTTAATTTGGATTCTGATCTGGTTTGTGAGTAGTTATTTAATATGGCTTGGATTCTCATCTGGTTTATTCAGTTATTTAATCTGGATTATGATCTGGTTTATGCGGTTATTCAATCTGGATTATGATGTTATACTTTAATTAATCAGTTCAGTGTGACAGTTGATGTATTAAGACGTTAAAATTCTATTTAAACAAATTAATTTTGCCTGTATTTCATGAGAAAGGTCCAATATGTGTGTGAATTATATATATATTTTTTTTCTCTATGTAAGAGAATATCGTAATAATAACTCCAGCTCAGTTTACAGGTTGTTCATTCGGTGGAGCAGCAATATGGCAGTACGAAAGTTTAAAATCTCGTGTACAGAGTTACTTTGACGATGTCAAAGCGGATTGGCTGGAGAAGATACGGCCTCAGAAACAAGGAGATTTACGCAAACAGGTATGTGTGTGTGTGTGTGTGTTTAATGGAATATTTGTTTTCTTCCATGTGTGTTTAATGAACATTTTGTTGTCTGGTATTCTGCAGGTGAATCAGTGGTGGAACAATTTAAGTGAAGGACAGAAAACAGTCACAGGTCAGACAATGAATGACGCAAACCATTCTCTTTACACAGATGAACGGTTTAGATTGTGAAGATAATGTGTTTAATAAAGTGTCATCATTTAATTAAACAGATGCTTTTCATCTATTTCTATGTGCGCTGTTACCTCTGAACCGCTCTCCATCTCTCTCTCTCTTTCTCTTTCATTTTTGGTTTCCAAGTTTTGGGGGGAAAAGAGAAAAAAATGGCGAACATGTCAATTTTGTTATTGGAAAAGCGAAAATTGCTAATAATTTAATAAAATAATAAGAGGAATTGGAAACTATATGGAATTATAAAGAAATGTTGTGCTTTGTTAGAGATGGTGAATTAACTTCTGTCTCTCTCTCTCTCTCTCTCTCTCGCTCAGGCATCATTGCAGCGAATGTATTGGTGTTTTGTTGTTGGAGAGTTCCCTCTCTGCAGCGCTTCATGCTCAAGTACTTCACATCTAACCCTGCAGCCAGTGCGTGAAGTCGTCTGTTTATCTTTCATAATAAAGGGATTTCAATGGTCACTCATGTTTGCACTGCATTGAAATGAGGAATTTTCTGTTGGATTGGAAAATAGATAAAGCTCTGATTTACACTTTACTTTTCAGTCTTGCATGGTTTATCTTTGGTACCGAAATTGTTTTGTCTTGCATTTTTATGTGATGCTCAAAATGATAATATAAGTAAAAAATGTGTATAATATAATAATTTGCATTGTTATACTTCGGGTACAGTAAACATGGGATTCTGGATTCTGATCTGGTTTATACAGTTATTTAATCTGTATTCCGATCTGGTTTATGCAGTGATTTAATCTGATTTCTGATCTGGTTTGCGCAGTTATTAAATCTGGATTCTGATCTGGTTTGCGCAGTTATTTAATATGGATTCTGATCTGGTTAATGCAGTGGTTTAATCTCATTTCTGATCTGGGTTGTGCAGTTATTAAATCCGGATTCTGATCTGGTTTATCCATTTATTTAATCTGGATTCTGATCTGGTTTGCACAGTTTTATAATCTGGATTCCGATCTGGTTTATGCTGTGATTTAATCTGATTCTGATCTGGTTTATGCTGTGATTTAATCTGATTTTTGATCTGGTTTATGCAGTTATTTAATCTGCATTCTGATCTGGTTTATGCAGTTATTTAATCTGGATTCTGATCTGGTTTATGCCGTTATTTAATCTGGATTCTGATCTGGTTTATGCAGTTATTTAATCTGGATTTTGATCAGGTTTATGCAATGATTTAATATGGATTCTGATCTGGTTTATGCAGTTATTTCATCTGATTTCTGATTTAGTTTATGCAGTTATTTAATCTGGATTCTGGTCTGGTTTATGCCGTTATTTAATCTAGATTCTGATCTGGTTTATGCAGTTATTTAATCTGGATTCTGATTTAGTTTATGCAGTTATTTAATCTGGATTCTGGTCTGGTTTATGCCGTTATTTAATATGGATTCTGATCTGGTTTATGCAATGATTTAATATGGATTCTGATCTGGTTTATGCAGTTATTTAATCTGATTTCTGATCTGGTTTATGCAGTGATTTAATCTGGATTCTGATCTGGTTTCAGAGGCGCTGTGTTGGCCCATGCTGCTGTCTACGTTCAGTCACTATTCTCTCTTTCACCTGGCGGCCAACATGTACGTGCTGTGGAGTTTCTCTTCAAGCATCATCAACATGATGGGCAAAGAGCAGTTTGTGGCAGTCTACCTGTCTGCAGGTGTGTGTGTGTGTGTGTGTGTGTGTGTGTGAGAGAGAGAGGGTTCTCAGTCAAAAACCATCATACTCTCTAGAAAACTCCTGTGTTATTTGATTTTTTTGTTATGTTAGAATGCTTTTTTATGAAGTTATTTCACTTAAGGCTATGCCTATGATTTTTTTTTTTTATAAAAATTTTTTTTATAATATGACTTGTGTTTGTTTGCTTATGTTTATGGTCTCAGGTGTGATTTCTACGTTTGTCAGTTATGTGAGTAAAACAGCGATGGGTCGGTTTGGTCCATCACTGGGGGCGGTGAGTGTATTTCCTGATGAAACATTTCAAGTATTCATCGACATTCAAATGCATGTCATAAACAGATTGTTGTGTTGTATTGTGTCAGTCAGGGGCCATCATGACCGTCCTAGCAGCGGTGTGCACCAAAATGCCTGAAGCCAAACTGGCCATCATCTTCCTCCCAATGTTCACCTTCACTGCCGGAAACGTGAGTGTGTGTGTGTGTCTGTGTGTGTATATTATAATTTTGCTTTTTTTTCTCCTATAAATGTCAGTTTAGTTTCATTGTTTGTTAGTTTTAGTTTAGTATTTATTTTGTGAACATATTTCTATTTAGTTTTATAGATTTAGTTTTTGTAATTATAGTCTAGTTTTTGTAATTATAAATTATGTAATTACAGAGTTAACAGAACACTTCCACTTTCCATGATTCTTTTATGGTTATTTCTATTATTAATCCTATCAAACATTATTCTTGTATTGATCAATTTATGATTTTTGTCTATTGCATCTTTATTACTTACGAAAACTTATTTTTCTAATTATTATTTTATTTCAGTAACTGTTGTTAGTTTCGTTTAGTTTCATTTTTTCATTTGTGTTGAAATTTCAATTTTCTAGTTTACAAAAATGTTTTTGGACCAATAGTTTCAGTTTTCGTTTAGGAAAGTACCGTTGGTGAGAGCGAGAGTTGTATTCCTCAGTGACGATGGGCGTATTGTCATGCTCTCGTCCTCCCACAGGCGCTGAAGGCCATCGTGGCCTTGGATGCGACAGGCTTGATTCTGAGATGGCGTTACTTCGATCACGCCGCTCATTTAGGTGGAGCTTTATTCGGCATGTGAGTAACACGTCACTGTCTAGCTGCTGCTATTGCTGCTGTTTGTAGCATTAAAGCAAAGAGCGGTTTTGATCTGGATTCATAACTGGTTTATGTCCAGATTAATCTGGATTCTGATCTGGTTAATGCAGTTATTCAATCTGGATTCATAACTGGTTTATGCCCAGTTTAATCTGGATTCTCATCTGGTTTATGCCGTTATTTAATCTGGATTCATAACTTGTTTATGCCCAGTTTAATCTGGATTCTCATCTGGTTTATGCCGTTATTTAATCTGGATTCATAACTTGTTTATGCCCAGTTTAATCTGGATTCTGATCTGGTTTATGCAGTTATTTAATCTGTATTCATAACTGGTTTATGCCCAGTTTAATCTAGATTCTGATCTGGTTTATGCAGTTATTTAATCTGGATTCATAACTGGTTTATGCAGTTATTTAATCTGGATTCATAACTTGTTTATGCCCAGTTTAATCTGGATTCTGATCTGGTTTATGCAGTTATTTAATCTGGATTCATAACCGGTTTATGCCCAGTTTAATCTAGATTCTGATCTGGTTTATGCAGTTATTTGATTTGGATTCATAACTGGTTTATGTCCAGTTTAATCTAGATTCTGATCTGGTTTATGCAGTTATTTAATCTGGATTCAAAACTGATTAATCCCCAGTTTAATCTGGATTCTGATCTGGTTTATGTAGCTATTTGATCTGGATCCATAACTGGTTTATGTCCAGTTTAATCTAGATTCTGAACTGGTGTATGTAGTTATTTAATCTGGATTCAAAACTGATTAATGCCCAGTTTAATCTGGATTCTGGTCTGGTTTATGCAGTGATTTAATCTGGATTCGGATCTGGTTTATGCAGTGATTTAATCTGGATTCTGATCTGGTTTGTGTCGTTATTTAATCTGGATTCTGGTCTGGTTTATGCAGTGATTTAATCTGGACTCTGAACTGATTTTTTTGTATAAATAAATATAAAACATTTAATTATATATGCTTCCTTGGCAATAGAATGAAGGTGAAGTACTAAAATTCCTCAAATTAAAAATCCAAATAAAAAAAGATAAATAAAAACGACAAAAGTAGATCTCCAAATTACTAAAACGAACAAAAATTTAAACAAAGACTGAAATGATAAAAATAAAAGCATATTCAAAATATAAATACTATATAGTAAATAAATACTATTTAGCATATAAATAATATTTAAAAAATACTGGCAAATTATTTGTATGTACTGATATCTGAGACCCTCCCCTTGATAAAAGTGTTGCGTTTTAGTTGTGTTTGTTATAGTTGACCACTGGATGGCTCTTAATGCCACTTATGCAAAGACGAGCATGTTTATTCTGTCTCTGTGCTTAACATGTCCATGCGTCTCTCTTTCTTTCTCTAGCTGGTACATACTTTATGGGCACGAGCTTATTTGGAAGAACCGAGAGCCGCTGGTGAAGTTGTGGCACGACTTCAGATCGGGAGGACCGGGAGCTGGCGGCAACGGCTCGATTTAGAGCATTGCATTGTGGGTAGACACTGAGCAGGTGACCTGAAGAGGAAATGGACACACGTGTTTATACGGGGTCTGTTTTCAGTTGTCACTGAGTGACGGTAGTATTGCGGTGATGTCATTATGCCCCGCCCCCTTGTTTAAATTTGAATCCAGGTAGCTCCACCCACTTTTCTAAAAAATGCAAACGATCTGGAGGGGCGGAGCTTCAGCAAACAGCTCAGCTCTAAGGTGGTGCGGGCCACTCAACAACACCATGTACAGAAATTTAAACGTTTAAAATAGTCTGTAATTGTCATTTAAAAAATAAAATGATTATTTAAAATTAAATTTGCACTGTCATCAGAAATGTACCAAGTTCGAGTGTTTGTTTTATTAGCTGTGTGTAATATGTTCTACTTAAGTTTTGTTTATTTTCTGTGTTTCAGATGAGACTTTGGTCCCTGTTAAATGTGAATGATTAACCAGGTTTCTCTATAACACACACACACACACACACACACACACGTATGCTATACATCTCATCAAACGCGCACACACACACCGTAGTTTCAGTGTTGTTTTCTCGAATGGGTCAAAGTTCAATAACGGTCATGATATCATAATGGCTCATGAACAATGAGTCTGTTTTCACTTCCTCGTGTTTAATGAAGTCACCGTATCGCTCGTCTCTTCCTGTTTCCCGGTTATCGATCTGTAACTTCCGTCACATCGCTATTATCTTTCACATCCCCGAATCACACCTCACTCTTTCTGTTGTGTTCAGGTTTTTATTTGAGTGAATAAATGTGTCTTTGGGGTTAAAAATGATCATAAGAAATATATTTAGCAAAAAATAAAATGAAGCTTAATTAGTAGATTAGGCTTTTTTGTGGCGTTCAAAAGTGAAAGAATTAATCCTTTTTATTCAGAAAGGACATTGAATTGATCAAAAGTGACAGTAAAGACATTTATAATGTTGCAAAATATTCCGTTAAGTCCTTTTGAACTTTCTATTCATCATCAAAGCATCATAATTTCTACTAAAATATGAATATTGAAAATAATGGCCTCAAATCATCATATTAGAGTGATTTCTGAAGGGTCATGTGACACTGAAGACTGGAGTAATGATGCTGAACATTCAGGAATAAATGACACTATATTCACATAGAAAACAGTTATTCTAAATTATAATAATATTTCACTGTTTTTACTTTATTTTTGTTCAAATAAATGATGAGCATGAGAAACCGCATTCAAAAAACATTGACCAACTGCAGTGTACTTTCTAATTGACTTGTTAAGTTTATTCATTGAGTACTTCAATTTTAAATCTAATTTATTATACATTTTAGTCATTTTCTTTTTTTTTTAAATACTTTTTGAGCACTTGAGTGGAATAAACCCTCATGTTAAATAAACCCTCATTTATTTGATCTCAAATGGTCTGTTCACCAATGATGATGGTGTGTGTGTGCGTGAGAAATGATGCTCGTCTCGAAAGAACGTCACCTGTCTGTCATCCCCAGTTTTAGATTTTGGGGAGGGTTTGATGTTTTAGGGTTATTGACCTAAAGCCAATATTAACACAGTGACACTCGGCCCCATCGCTGCTATATAGTCCCAAACCCCGTTCAGGAGTCACAATTTCAGAAGAAACACAACAATTATTATTGTATATCAGGTCACATAATCCACTGAGAGCTAAACAGGTGCGTAAAAATATTAATTTTTCATCGAATTAATGATCAATAGCAGTTTCTGACTGTTATATGTATGTATATATGTCACTTTCAGACTTTAATAAAGAGTTCATAAAGAAAAAATAGCTTTTACAGTGAAATCAGTCTAGAGGTTATATTATACGATTATGGACTATAAGTGCTAAGTAACATAATTGAATTGAAAGCTTTGTATCGTTGTTAACATGTTCCTAACATAGTTAACTAACACTAAAAACATTTAAAAAATTTTACATTTTAAAAAAGCATTTCTATTTCAGCATTTTTTTTTGTTTTTGCAATGGATTTTTTTGCTCTATACGCACAAAAAAAAAAAACAAACATTTTTGTAGAGCAAAAACTTTTATATTTGCTTTGAAATAACATTTAACTGGAAAAATATATATATATAACTAATAAGCTAGTTTAACTATGGTATAGTATCTTAATGATAGTAAAATAACACTGGCTGCTATTATGAATGAATAGTTCATTTTATGGATGTTATTAGGTAGATAAATACAAAAGTTAAGCAGCACATGATTTGCTTTATTTCACAAGAGTTTGAAGTCCAACGTTTGGCCAGTCATGAATAGAACTGATTTCGAACTGCTAGAAATGCCTAAACGTTCTATAATGCAATGATAATTCTATTTAGAATCACAATTCTATGCAGAATCTCCATGCTGAAGTGGAACATATGACCTAGGATATTAAGCAAAGATCATGTTCCATGCAGATATTTAGTAAATTTCCTACTGTAAATATATCAAACATGTATTTGTGTGAGTGAATGCAGCACAATCGAGAACATAAATGTACAACTTTAACGACTTTCGTTTTTTTTTTTTTTTTTTTGCACCCTCAGATTCCAGATGTTCAGATATCTTGCAATATTGTCCTATAATAATAAACCATACATCACTGGAAAGCTTATTAATTCAACTTTCAGATGACGTATAAATCTCAAACTCAAAAACTTTGGGGTTTTCATAAGCTGTAAGCCATAATCACCAAAATCATAACAAATAAAGTCTTAAAATTTGCATGTAATGAGTCTATATAATATCTTAGTTTCTCCTTTTAAGTTGAATTACTGAACTTTTGCACGATATTCACATTTTTCAAGTCTCCAAATCTGTGTTCTGGTGCTTCACAGATCCCAGAAACCAATACACTGATCTGAAGAAGCATATATAGCCCCAAAAAGAGCGTTTTTGCTCATCCTATCCTTTGAAAAAGCTTAATTTTAAGAGTGTGCACATGCTTATCATGTATCTGAATCTCTGAGTCAACATGCACCAAGGCCACATTATCACAAATGTCATTATATGCACTAAAATATTACATTGATTAAATGAATAACTGTGATTGGAGTTGATGAACAGGTGTTCCTCTCCCTCAGGATGGCATCGACGGTCTTGCAGCTGACAGGATTGATCCTGGGCCTCGTCGGCTGGTGTCTGGAGTCCAGTTGTGTGAACTCAGCCGTGTGGAAGAGACGCAGTGACGCAGAAGCTGTGTTGACCTCCAGCTCGTACTTTGAAGGACTGTGGGTGACGTGTGCGTCCAACTCTCAAGGGGCCATTCAGTGCCAGAGGTTCAAGACCGTCCTGGGCCTTGCAGGTGAGACTAACCCTGGACTGACCCTGGACCACAAAACCAGTCACATGGGTCCATTTTTTTGAGAAATTGACAGGCGAGTGACAAGATGATTGACAGGCTAGTTTACAGAGACAGAGAGCAGCCGTTAAAGGATTAGTTCACTTTTGAAAAAACTTTTGCTGATAATTTACTCACCCCCATGCAGTGTTGTAGTACTCGAGACTCGGACTCGTCTCGGACTCGAGACCATATTTTAATGGTCTTGGTCTTGTCATGGACTCGTGTGCATTTGGACTCGGAATTGACTCGTACTCGAACATTTTTTTTTTAGGACTCGGACTTATTCCCGAGTCCACTCGAGTTCAATTCAAAATATTTTTCATGATTATTAATGTATGTTAATAAAATATTTCTTTAAATTGATTGACACGCCCAGTGATTGGTGACTTTCTAGTGCGCAACCGCGCATGACAAATTGTAATAAAATTACTTTTAACACCACCTACTATGTGGCCTTTTTACCCTAAACTGATCATATTTTTTAAACTCTAAGTAAATTCAGTAAAATAAAAAAAGGATTTCTCTAAGTTAATAAAAGTAAATTAGGTAATCAACCCTCAGTGGTCTCGGTCTCGACTCGGACTCGACCGTCTCTGGTCTCGGACTCGACTTTCTATGGACTCGGTCTCGACTCGGACTCGAGTGAGGTGGTCTCGACTACAACACTGCCCCCATGTCATTCAAGATGTCCATGTCTTTCTTTCCTCAGTCGAAAAGAAATTTAGGTTTTTGATGAAAACATTCCAGGATTTTCCTCCATATAATGGACTTCAATGGGAACCAGACGGTCTAAGGTCCAAAAGACGGTTAATAACAGTTTCAGATGCAGCTTCAAATGTCTTTAAACGACACCAGACGATGAATAAGGGTCTTATCATGCGAAACGATCGCTTATTTCAAAACTTATTCCAAAAATGTAACTTTTCTAATGGCAAATGCTAGCATTGCTCTATTCTGTGAGGCGCGTTTGTAACGTCACGTAATACGTAATTACGTTCAAAAGGTCACGAAAGTACAGAGTCAATGTTTACAAGTTGAACGCATAGGTTGAACGTGCAAACTAACTCAAACACCGTTTATAAAAAAAGGAATTAAAAGTTAAAACAACGATGTCGGACGATTTTGATTCTGTACTTCCGGCTACGTCGCCCGTGACCTTTTGAACGTAATTACGTATTACGTGACGTTACAAACGCGCCTCGCAGAATAGAGCAAGGCTAGCATTTGTCCTTAGAAAAGTTACATTTTTGGAATAAGTTTTGAAATAACGGATCGTTTCGCATGATAAGACCCTTATTCATCGTCTGGTGTCGTTTAAAGACATTTGAAGCTGCATCTGAAACTGTTATTAACTGTCTTTTGGACCTTGAACCGTTTGGACCCCATTGAAGTCCATTACATGGAGAAAAATCCTGGAATGTTTTCATCAAAAACCTTAATTTCTTTTCGACTGAGGAAAGAAAGACATGGACATCTTGGATGACATGGGGGCGAGTAAATTATCAGCAAAAGTTTTTTCAAAAGTGAACTAATCCTTTAAAGACGCAGTTGTATGACGTGGTAGTTTGTCCCAAAGCTTGTGTACTCTACGCACTGTAGAAAATTTGGATTTACTTGAAAAAAGCTTGCTAAATTATCTCACTCAGAAAATGCTAGTAAATTTACAAAGATTTGCCAAGTAAAAACCTAAACGTATTTATCAGTAGCTTTAATTAGAAATCGTTAAGTTAAATTTACTTGGAATAATATGGAATTAAGTAAACTTTACAAAAAAATAAGTCATTTTAACTCGGCTAGTAAAAGGTTGCCTTTGCCTTGTATTACATTTCACTAAAACAACAATCTTGAATTTTATTAGTCATTTATAGTATGTGCTTTACTTAGATCAAGCAATTTATATTACATCATGTCAGATGTCCACACCTCAATACTTGGTAGACAATACACAATGGTGGTAACATTTGAGGGGTCGTTTTTGTGTTTGAATGTGTCATTTTGAGCAAAAAATTTACTCGAAATGTCACAAAATTGCAAGTAACTAATACTGACAGCAAAAATCAATGATAAAACAGTGTAAATACAGCTGGAAACCAGTGAAAAATGAGCCTCGTTAATTATTCAAGGTCCAGTGCATGATGGGCAATAAGAAAAGTTGAGTAATATTTCCTTAATTTTTTTGAGTTGATATTTACACTTTCATTTCTACTCGCTTGAATTAAGTTTTTTTTTTTTTTTAAATTCTTGCCTGAACTAACGTTTTCAAGTAAATTACATTGTTTTTTTCACTAGTTTTTACTTCAACAAAAAAATAATTTTTTATATAGCACTTAAAAGTATGTACTTTTTCTTCAAAAAAAAAAAACCCTAGTGCGTATGTTTAGGGTACAGTATAAGTAGGCGTATTGAGACGCAGCCCTGATGTGTCCTTCACTCGCATCACATCGCACTGGTGTTGGTTTCAGCGATACGGTATCGTGACGGGTTTTACTGCAGCGCTGTGACTCAATCCTGGGACAAAACCAGGTTAAGCTAGTCATAAAAACTCATAAAACACTCACACACACCTTTCTGGATATAGGTTTCTACAGCCGTGCTTCAAATCTGTGCTTGAGTGCAGTTTAACTGAGGATTGTTGGGCAAAATTCACTTGATTTGATTTTCATTGCAAATGAAAGGTTACAGACATTAACAGTGAGAAGAAAATACATAGAATAAAACAAGTGGCTACACAAATCAATGCAATATTACATTTGGTCAATATGAAAAATGAAAGCTTCCTTATATATTATATGTTTTAGGAAGGGGAATTTACTTAAAGTAGTTTGTTAAATAATATATATGAATATATAGCATTATTGGTAACTATATATGTTTCAATTGTTAAATTAAAGCTGAAATTAAAAAAAATAGTTCATAAAAATACTTAAACTTAAAAACTTAGAACCTATTAAAGGTAAGATATTAGAACCAAAACTAAAGCTGAAATAAAACTAAATTAATACTAAATAGAAATATTAAAAAGAAAAATGGCAACGGCCCGCTTACTAAAATGTGAGCTGATATTAATATTAATACAAAATATAAATAAAAAAAAATATATATATATATATATATATATATATATATATATATATATATAATCTGTTGGATATTATGATGTCCGTGTTATTAAAATATAGTTCTGGGTTTCTGTGTGTTTAGTTTGACCCTATCACACACACACACCAAAAACCCAGTGTCACCTTATGAAAGGTCAAAGGCCTTATATATTTTATAAACTCAAACTTTTCTCTCTTAAGTCACATGTCACTTCCTATATTGACTTGCTTCATCTTCATGGTGTTATCTAGTAAAAGCCAATATAGGCGGGACCGGAGTTTATGGTTTTATGACCCTGATCATGACTCTATAACACACTGACACACTCGCACACACTCTCAACTATAGGCTGGTGTGTTTGGTTGGGTATTGTGTGTGGATTTGATCATGTCGACTGGGATCCAGCTTTTGGGCTTCCTGATGTGTTTGGGGGGCTGGTTGCTCTCCCTCATGTCGTTGTTGAATGATTCGTGGCGTTCGTCGACGTTTGCGGATCAGCTGATCACGTCTGTGTGGTACGATCAGAACCTGTGGCAGTCGTGCGCCGAGGGCAGCACTGGAGTCAGAAACTGCAAGCAGTTCGAGTCTATGCTCTCTCTATCTGGTAACACACTCCTCACACACACTTACAAGAGTTTGTGTTCATATTGCATTTCAAGATTGCTTATATTTCACCCCAAAATCAAAAGGAAAAATAGATTTTGCATGATATATGATGGGATTGCTTTTTAAAAAAAATACTATTGTGACATAAATACTGCATTTAACTCTGGTCACTTTTTATTTTATATTATCGGAATGGTAGGAAACTTGGTAAAGGTAAAAGGTTAAACGGTTCGGAAAAAAATATTGTTCACGGTCAGAAATGAAGCGTTGGAAACGAATGTGAGTCGAGTTTCCTCTAGTGGAAGCGTTCGGTACTGCAACATCTCACTGAACGCTCATTTACTGATGGCTTTTTACTGATTAACGTGTTAAGTATCTCAGAGTTACGAGATAATTTTTCATGGAAAATAAGCTTTTGCTCTGTTTTTTCCAAATTAATGAATTAATTATATCAGAATTACGAGATGATTTTTCGTGAAAAATATATTTTTGCTCTGTTTTTCTGAATTAACGAGTTAATTATCTCAGAATTACGAGAATTTTTTTCATGGAAAATAAGTTTTTGCTCTGTTTTAGAAATTAACAAGTTAATTATCCCAGAATTACGAGATCATTTTTCGTGGAAAATACGTTTTTGCTCTGTTTTTCATGAATTAATGAGTTAATTATCTCAAAATTATGAGATCATTTTCATGGAAAATAAGTTTTTGCTCTGTTTTTCTAAACTAACAAGTTAATTATGTCAGAATTACAAGAATTTTCTTGGAAAATAAGTTTTTGCTCTGTTTTTCTGAATTAATGAGTTAATTATCTCAGAATTACGGGATCATTTTTCATGGAAAATAAGTTTTTGCTCTGTTTTTAGAAATTAACGAGTTAATTATCCCAGAATTACCAGATCATTTTTCGTGGAAAATAAGTTTTTGCTCTGTTTTTCATGAATTAACGAGTTTATTATCCCAGAATTACGAGATCATTTTTCGTGGAAATTAAGTTTTTGCTCTGTTTTTATGAATTAACGAGTTAAGATCTCAGAATTACGAGATCATTTTTCATGGAAATTAAGTTTATGCTCTGTTTTTCTGAATTAACAAGTTAATTATCTCAAAATTATGAGATAATTTTCATAGAAAATACGTTTCTGCTCTGTTTTTCTGAATCAAAGAGTTATATATCTCAGAATAACGAGATCATTTTTCATGGAAAATACGTTTTTGCTCTGTTTTTCATAAATTAACGAGTTAATTATCTCAGAATTACGAGATCATTTTTCTTGGAAAATAAGTTTTTGCTCTGTTTTTCTAAATTAACAAGTTAATTATATCAGAATTACAAGAATTTTCTTGAAAAACAAGTTTTTGCTCTGTTTTTCTGAATTAATGAGTTAATTATCTCAGAATTACGAGATCATTTTTCATGGGAAATAAGTTTTTGCTCTGTTTTTCTGAATTAACGAGTTAATTATTCCAGAATTACGAGATAATTTTCATGGAAAATACGTTTTTGCTCTGTTTTTCATGAATTAACGAGTTAATTATCTCAGAATTCCAAGATCATTTTTCATGGAAATTAAGTTTATGCTCTGTTTTTCTGAATTAACGAGTTAATTATCCCAGAATTACGAGACATTTTTTTTATGAAAAATAAGTTTTTGCTATATGTTTTTCTGAATTGACGAGTTAATATCTCAGAATTATGAGATAATTTTTCATGGAAATTAAGTTTATGCTCTGTTTTTCTGAATTAACGAGTTAATTATCCCAGAATTAAGAGATAATTTTCATGAAAAATAAGTTTTTGCTCTGTTTTTCTGAATTAATGAGTTAATATCTCAGAATTATGAGATAATTTTTCATGGAAATTAAGTTAATGCTCTGTTTTTCTGAATTAACGAGTTATTTATCTCAGAATTATGAGATCATTTTCGTGGAAAATACGTTTTTGGTCTGTTTTTCTGAATTAACGACTTAATTATCTCAGAATTACGAGATATTTTTTCATCAAAAATAAGTTTCCATGTTTTCCCTCTTATTCAAAATATCTATAAACAATAGAATGGCACATATTTTTTGCTGTATTGTGTATATAAAAATAATGTCATATACATGTACAGCAAGCCTCAGTACTGCCGTAGTTCCTGGTGTTGTGTCAGGATAAGTGTGTGTGAATGCTCCGCTGTCAGGATAAGTGTGTGTGATTGCTCCGCTGTGTTCAGGATACATCCAGGCCTGTCGAGCTCTGATGATAATCGCACTGGTTCTGGGTTTGCTGTCGGTGGTTCTGGCCACGATGGGCTTGAAGTGCACTAAACTGGGCAGCACGTCTGAGGAGTCCAAGGGCAAAATCAGCCTCACATCTGGAGTGATGTTCATCCTGTCAGGTGAGGGTGACACACACACACACACACACACTGCTGAATCATATAAGTGCCTCATGTTCTGGTGTGCGTGTTCTCTGTTAGGTTTGTGTGTTATGGTAGCGGTGTCGTGGTACGCCGCTCGAGTCGTTCAGGAGTTTAATGATCCTTTCTACGGAGGCACGAAGTGAGTCAAAGATTAAACCATATTTAACCCTGTAAAGCCTGAAATAATAGTCTTTATTATTATACTGTTTATTGAACCTTTAGAACCTAAACGTTATTGTGTGTGTGTGCAGGTATGAGCTGGGTGTGGGTCTGTATCTGGGATGGGCCGCTGGATCTCTGGCTATATTGGGTGGAGGAATCCTGTGTACGTCATTTAAGAGTTCGGCACCCGAACAAACACGGTGAGTCTCCACAGACCTCAACCCAATTCAACTCAACTCAACACTGGCTTTACTGGCATGACAATTGTTTCAATTTTTTTTCTAAAGCATTTCTAATCATCACACATGTACATATACAAACATGAAACAGGTAAGCAGAACAATGAATCAACACTTCAGAATTCTATGAACATTTTAGAATTCTATGTGCGTGTGTGAGTGTGTGCGTGTGCGTGTCACTCTCTCTTTCTCTCTCTCTCTTGACCCTCTGGGGTTGTTCGTTTCAGAGTCACACTCGGGGTGTTCGGGTCCAAATGGACCCAAAGGGCGGGATTCATATAAAAAAAAAAAAAAATCATGATTTTTTTTTTTTACTCTTTTTTTATAATATTTTTTCTTTTCTTTTTTGGTGTTTTGAGAAAATTTCAAAAATAAAAAAAATTTATAATTAGTATTAATGCAATAATTATGACAACATTTCCCCCCATTGAACATAATACAAAAAGTATTGAAAAAAAATTTTTTTTTTAAAGCTGTATTTCATTTTAGAGTCAAGCCTAGGCCTCATAAAAGCAATTTTTGAAATGAGATGGATGCCATCTGGTGGACAAACTGAGCATTTAAAAAATGCAAAACACATGTATAATCTGAATTTTTGGTGTGTTTGTGTATAAAAGTGTGTTTGTGTGTGTGTGGACGTGTCTGTTTTGCACTCTTGATGTTTTATAGATTTACCCCTTCACTGTTGTGTGCTTTTTTTTCAAGATCGTGGCTGATTTGTAAATTGTACGCACAAAAAAGCTCAGTATTTTCACATTTTTGCCAATTTCCCATTTATTTTCCATACGGGTCCATTTGGATCCATATTTTTTTTACATTGTACATTGTAAAACAAAAGTAAAATAAAAATTTAACAAATTAGAACAAATTCTGTATTAATAAGTGTGGAAAAACAGGGGTGGGGATAAATAAATAAATAAATCAAATACAGCATATGTACTTTCAGTGGTGTGTGTGTGCTAGTGAATGTGTTAGTGTGTGTATAATAAAACAAACAAACTCTCTCTCTCTCTCTCTCTAGTTATAACTACAGCGGTTCGCAGCCGCAGAAGATCTACAGATCAGCGCCGTCTGAAAACACCCTCTCCAAAGCTTATGTCTGAGGCCATTCTTCTTCCTTTACAAGGACATGCTTTTTTAGGATTGCATCTTAAAACTCAGCCTTATGCAACTCCCCCGACGTTCTTGAAAGTGGTATTGCCTTCATAGTCAGTCATGCACTTATAGAGTTTAGGATCAGATTATTGTGCATTGACTTGATCAGAAACACAATAGAAGAGTAACATTGTGAAATATTAGTACAGTTTGACTGCATGACTCATCAGTGTCTTCTTAGATTTCATCATAATTTTGTATCAGAATATAATTATTTAGTCAGCAAAATATCAATTAGACTGTATTTTAATATGAAACACCCACTTTACATCCTAAATCAATTCCCTGCTGTACATTTTTTTTGTTTTTTTAATTTAATCTCATATTTCATGTTAAATTTAATACTCTTATGTCATGTGAATTGTCATGCGTATGTGGATCATTTTAGTTTGCTATATAAATGTTACATCGTCTGTTCTGATGTTTTGAAAAGTTGTGTTGTTATATGTGTGTTTCATGTGAATAAAACAGTTCTGTGAATTTTGCAATTGTGCAAACAGTTTTTTATTTAATGTTTTGCTGTTATCAGTGTATGTTTTTAGATCGGTACGAAAAACAAATGTTAAAAAAAAAAGTTGTACTTTGTCCCTGCAACTGAAATGTACTCCTTTCTGATTGACAATAAAGTTTAATAAAACACTAGATCTGATAACTCTATCTAGTCAACGGAACAGAGCTGTGGTCATGTGACCATTGTGTTTTCAAGCCCAATCCATTTCCCCTTGGCCATAAAGGAGCTCATGGTGCTGTTTTTTACACAAAAATATATTTTTTGCATATTAAAGTAAATTTTCATGCTGTCAACTTAATCAAATAAATTCAGGTAGAAAAACGGAGGCTATATCATACATATTATGAACTATTAACATATAAAATCATGTGATGATGATGATAGATGAAGAGTATCCTGAATTACTAAGAGAGATCGTTTTTTTTTTTCTTCTAAAATGTGGGGTGGGGTAAAGTGAGACATGAGGCACAAGTTAAAGGGACACTCCACCCTTTTTGGAAATAGGCTCATTTTACAACTACCACGGAGTTATACCAGAGGAGCCCGTCTAACGGAGAGCCTTGGCACTTCCTATTAGCCCCGTTGTGTATACTATCTTGGTTGCAGTTCCATTAGAATTCCACTGGAGGTGATCGCGGGCTAGTGCAGAATGAATGGGAGTCTATGGGGCTAAACGGCTAAATGTGTCTCTTTCACCTGCTTGTCGTTAAATCAAAATAGATTTTATTGTTGATTCCGCAAGTTCAATATAGATTATAGGCCAAAAGTCGAATGAACGAGTACTTATGTCCTTTTGATTTCCTACAGGTTAGGCTGTTGTTGGCTGGAACACGCTAGCATTCTGCTATTGTGTGACGCCATCACATTTTTGAACGGATTTTTAGAACAGATAAGAGAACTTAAAAATGCAATTTTCAGCTGAGTGTATTATCTTAGCCCTCCCCTTTGAATGCAACTTTAAAATTACTTGACAAAAAATTACATCCTGAGAAAAGTGGATTTATGGGGGTGAAACCCCATTGACTCCCATTCATTCTGCACTCGACCGCGAGCGCCCCCGCATGGACAGAGACCTGTTACTGCAGCCAGCGACATTCAACTAGACACTAGGTGCGTTCCATTCGACCGTAAGTGGACTGCGAAGTGGACTTCACAGGGTATTTTGCCATTTTAAGTGAGATTCCAATTCGAAGGGAACGAACATGTTCAGTTCGAAGGGCACTGCAAACGGCATAGGGAATAAGGGAACATCGATACATCACTTCACAGGAAGTCAGTGAAGTCCACTTCAACTGATATACCGTTTGTTTCATTCGTTTACTAAGTCATGAAGGCTTCAAATAAAGTTTGATTTTCGAAGGGATAACAAACATGCGGTCGTGACGTCAAACTCCTGCGACGGCGCAGCAGGAAACGTACATCGGTTGAGCCAAAATGGCGTCTGTGATCCTTCAGTCTGGAGTGGGTTAGCGTGAAACCTGTCCGAATAAACCTCAAATGACACGGTTCAGCTCTTATTAGACGGATTAATTATTTTTTATCATTAAGAAGAGTCCATCTAAACTAGCGAGGACACGTTTAGATGCTGTGAGGTAAAGTAAACCTGCTGTTTGTTAAAAGTGAAAGTCAAGTGCAGCGATTAGCTCCTGCAGATCTGATATAGCTCATTAAAATAACTGAAAAAAACACAACAACTACTGATTATTCATTAGTAATGACGCAATTCATAATCAGATTACACATTCTGCGGTTTGTGTAGTGTGTCCCCGGAAGGCGTTGTGACAAATGATCAGTTTAATTGATAGCATATCTGTCAGTTTTTTCACCTCGTATTATTGTTTATATTTTCCATTTATCCTGTTTTATGAGTCAGCTGTCTTACATGTTTTCAGCACACGTGATTCAGCATCATGCGAGGTTTATTTCCATCCTGCTGCTGGAATGACATGGCAGATATCATAATCTGATTCATATCAACTCTGTGATTGATTATTACTTATCTGATCCAACGGCTCATATCAACCACGCGTGATCAAACAATTCTGCTCTTGAAATAAGTCCGATTCATAAAGATATAAATGTATACAAAATGAACTTGTACGTGTATAGTACAATACTATTTGAATGTGCATTAATGATCTGTCAAGTATTATTTAATGTAATATTTTTAATGAAAGTTATGGACACATAAGCAAATTAGTTTAATTAAATAAAAATAATGTTTTTATTTGAAAAAAAAAAATCATAAATGTTGCCTTGGCAATAAACTGTAATAAGTTTACTAAAAATATTAATTGAAAATAAATAAACTGAAATTAAATTAAATTAAACGAATTAAGCCCTAATCGAGATATTTAAAACAAAAAACTAATAAAATGTAAAAAACAGCACACACAAAAATTAACATTAAAACAAAATTTACACTGAAAAACACTGTCATTCGCATGAGGGTGATCATATTTGGAAGTGTGTGGCGTCTAAAAGATTTAGAGTAATTATCTATAATCTGTGTGTGTTTATTGAAGTAATTTAAACTCAAACTATTACCACAAATATTTCATTTTCCTGTGTTAGATTTTGAGTCACTTCCTCCTGAGTTGAGGAGAGATCTTCCTCTTTTCCCTGTGGGTTGAACGTGCCCTGAATTAAGAAACACTCTTGTGTGTGTGTGTGTGTGTGTGTGTGTGTGCAGGAGGAGATGGCTGGACGTGGAGTCGGGTGTTTGTGGAAACGTCATGTTGTAGAGCAGCTGAAACAGAGAGACAGAGTTCAGCGTCAGGCCTTTGAGGAGATCATACACCAGTGTAAGACACACTCCTTCTTTCTTTCTTTCTACCTATATGTGTGTGTATATATGTTAATATTACATCAAACAATCCCTGAGCCTGTCAAATGAACATGGATGTCACCTCTATATTATTTTCCTCCTAAATACTGCACAATGTGTGTTTGTCTCCAGATAACCGGTTGTTGGAGAGGTCTGATCTTCAGGTTGTGTTTTCTGAACGTCTCCAGACCGACAAGTATGAGCATCAGAACAGACACGACCTCAGGTATTTATTACATGGAGATTAAATAAAATGTGTAGCGACTCGAGAAGAACATTACATGGAGAGGGAACAATTGTCAATACAAAGAGTCACGACACTCCCCTTCCAGACGCGAGATCTGGTGTTTTAGAGTGTGTGAGTGAGTGTGTTTTACATGTTTCTGTGATGGACTTTAAGCCTTAGAATATATCAGTAACCTGATATAAAGTCAATGGAAGTCTTTGCAATGTCCTCAGTAATATGGTGAAACAAACGTGTGTGTGTGTGTGTGTAGTCCTGGCGTTGACGGTGGCCGCAGTGACTCCCTGCAGCAGGAAATGGCTCAGATGAGAATCAAACATCAGGAGGAGCTGACGGAGCTGCACAAGAAGCGAGGAGAGGTGAATGATGGGATTGTTTTCTGCTAAACACTTACGACAACACTTACACACACATTTACATGCCAACGACCACATTTACATATTCAGCAGCTCCACTCTTCCAACTCGTTAGGCTAACTTTACGATCCTTGTGTTGTGAATCACAAGTACAAGAGTGTTTAAACAATCTATTGAGTCAGTGTAGCATTCTCAATTGAGTTCACATGTCATTAAATCAGTTAAATGAATGGGTGTGATTTGATTTGAATGGGCATTATTCATATATGTAATTGTTTTATGACATATTGGGTGTATAAGTGAAAATGTCATTGTATTTATTTCAGAAAGCATGGCAGTAAAATTATATGTTTGTGTGTGTTTTTTTTGCAGTTGGCTCAGAACGTGATTGAACTAAACAACCAGATTCAGCAGAAAGACAAAGAGATCCAGAGTAATGAAGCCAAGTGAGTGTGTGTCATGCGCGCACTTCGTGTATCAGCAGGATAATGTTTTATATCTCAATCTTATATCACACACTGTTTCTAAAATATCTTTACAGAAAATCATGTTATTATTGATTTCTCTTATAATTAGTGCTGTGCAACGATTAATCGCATCCAAAATAAAAGTGCGCTTACATAGTATATGTGTGTGTACTGTGTATAATTATTTTGTATATATAAACACACACATGCATTAAGAAAATATGTTATGTACCTAAATTATATATTAATGCATGCAAATATTTCTCAAATATATACATGCACGTGTGTGTATTTATATATACAAAATATTTATACACATTATGTAAACACAAACTTTTATTTTGGATGCAGTGTAATTATATATTTAAGGACAGAGTAATATTAATTAAAAACATGTACTTACTATAAAGTTAGGGTTAGTTGCATGTAATTATGCATAATTTACCTCTTAGTACATGTATTATATATATATATATATATATATATATATATATATATATATGAAGAGTTCAGATGCAAAAGCCTCTAAGTGCCATTTGAAATTTTCTTCTAGAATGATCATTTTTATCAAGCTTGTATATCTAAGTTCAGTGATTTCACTTAAATGGCAATGATAATTACCTATTAATTGTTATTTAAGTGAAATTACTGAACTTAGATATACAAGCTTGATAAAAAATCATTATTAAAGAAGAAAATTTCAAATGGCATTTAGAGGCTTTTGCATCTGAACTCTTCATATATATATATATATATAAACAAAGACACTGTGAAATAAAGTGTTACCGAAAAAGTAAAGTTTTACTAGACGAGTTATGGATTGAGGTGTCAAATCTTTTGTGAAAATGGCTCAGATCGGCATTACAATCACATTTTGAGATTATATAAACAATCTCCCAGCTGAAATTTGCTGTATATAGTATTTTTTTAATAGTATATATTTTTTTTATATTTTCCGTGTGTTTTTCCAGGATGTTGGAGTATCAGCAGCAGATCTCGCGTCTGGAAGGGGAGTGTCGTGACCTCCGAAACACTCTGGCTGATTTGGAACGAGCCAATCAGACGCTGCGAGACGAGTACGACGCCCTGCAGATCACGTTCAGCGCTCTGGAGGAGAAACTACGGAAAACCACGGAGGACAATCAGGAGCTGGTGACGCGCTGGATGGCGGAGAAAGCCCAGGAGGCCAACAGACTCAACGCTGAGAACGAGAAGGACACCAGGTCACAAACACCATTATACCGAAGTTTTAATAGATATGATATTTTAGGTAGTGTGTAATAATACAGCTGTTACTGAATGTGAAAGATTTGCAAAGATTGAAGTGCAGATAAATGTAGTTTTTGTCTCCTAAAAGAAAAAAAGTGATTCTGAACTGAAACGAGGCAGTCTCACTTCATGTTGGATACACATGTAAGAATGTAACTAATTAGCATAAAGCCAGCCTGTGGTGTTGATTGGCTGAACAGCGTCTCTAAGCCCCGCCCTCATCACTGTAGTGTATCTGAGACTGGAAGAGTTTGGTTGGTGTTGTTCATGTTTTACCAAGCCTTATTGGTCACTGTATGGCAAGCCGTTTTATCTTTTATTCATTTCCAGGATATGAATTCTTGATATCAAAAACTGTAATTATTGATATCAAGAATTTAATTGCTGCTATCTGTAATTGTATTTTCACTAGTGAAATGTCACCAATTGTTGATATCAAGAATTGAGTTTTTACTAGTAGAAATATCATTTTTGATATCAATAATTACATTGTGACTAGTAAAAATGTGAATTCCTGATATCAATAATTAAATTGTCACTAGATGAAATGTCTATTCTTGATGTCAACAATTCAATTGTTACTAGTAAAAATTATAATTTTTGATATCTGAAAATGTATTTCTGATATCAATATTATTTCAGATATCTAAAATGGCTTTCTTGCTAGTAACAATCACATTCATGATATCAGAAATTAACATTGTCACTAGTAAAAATGTAATTATTGATATCCAAAATGAACATTGTTACTAGTAACAATTTAATTGTGGATATCAAGAGAAGACATTTCAACTAGTAACAATTGAGTTCTTGATATCAAAAATAAAGGTTTTAGTAATAATTGTATTTCTGATTACAATTACGATTACAAATTGGAATTTCAACTAGTAAGAAATCAAATCTTGATATCAACAATTGATTTCTTACTGGTTGAAATTCCAATTTCACATATCAGAAATACAATTATTTCTAGTAAAAACCTTTATTTTTGATATCAAGAATTGATTTCTTACTAGTTGAAATTCCAATTTCACATATCAGAAATACAATTATTACAAGTAAAATCCTTTATTTTTGATATCAAGAATTTATTACTAGTAAAAACCTTTATTTTTGATATCAAGAATAGACATTTCAGCTAGTAACAATTGAATTCTTGATATCAAAAATAAAGGTTTTTACTAGTAATAATTGTATTTCTGATATGTGAAAATGGAATTTCAACTAGTAAGAAATCAAATCTTGATATCAACAATTGATTTTGAATGGCAGCCTATGGGGACATTTCACTAGTGAAAATACAATTACAGATATCAACAATTCAATTCTTGATATCAAAAAATGGCATTGTTGATATCAAGAATTCATATCCTGCGAATGATTAAAAGTTAAAATGGCTTGCCATCGTAATAATTGTATTTCTGATATGTGAAATTGGAATATCAACTAGTAAGAAATCAAATTCTTAAAATCAACAATTGTTTTTGAATGGCAGCCTATGGTCACATTTCACTAGTGAAAATACAATTGTTGATATCAAGAATTACATTTTTGATATCAAACGTTTAATTGTTGATGATTTTAAGTAAAAGCTTTTACTTAAAATCCTAAAGTATGGGCGGGGGAGTTGATTTTTGCATATAGAGTCGTTGTTAATGGCCCATATGTGTGTGTGAACCTCATTCTCAGTCTCACTGATTAACTGATCAGTCGTTAAGGGTCGTTTCAACACAATGAAAAGGTACACACCCTCCAGTTTCTGAATAATCGGCTCGTTTCCTGACCCTCCGTGAGCTCATTCTGATCCTCCACCTCTGATTGGCTGTTTGGCACTGACGGGGAGCCCTTGTAGAGTTTAAATGTGTTTGCTCAGTGTGTTTAACACATGGATGTCGTTGCAGGCGCAGACAGGCCAAGCTCCAAAAGGAACTGGCGGACGCAGCGAAGGAACCTCTTCCCATAGACCAGTAAGTGTGTGTAAGAGTGAGATGATAACGTTTGCTAACCTGGATTATTAAACTTTTATCAAGTAATGGACATTTCTGTAGTGAGAGCAATCTTAATAAAATGAGACATTCATATCCAGTACAGTGGTATTTATATGCTTTCATAGTATTTATTCATTTGTGTTAGCTTTTATTTTTATATTTCCAGTTTTCATTTAAGTTTAAGGTCTAGTAATTAGTTCTGTAATTTTAGAACTGAAATTTATTTTAGTTTGTTTCCAATGAAGCCAGTTTAGGTTTTAATTACCTTTTCCATTAAATGCCAATATTTGTCCCCTTTATTTTACATTTTATGAGGGCATATTGTTTTTAACTATATAAAATGCAGTGTTATTAATTATCCTGTTATCACATTATTTCAAAAAAATGTTGTTGTTGTTGGGAATCTTAATAAATCATGGAAATCTCATTGGATGTTGTTGTCTGATTGGTCTAGAGATGATGACATCGAAGTTCTCTCAGAGGATGCTGGGAAGGCAACGGGTGAAACGTCGCCGAGCAGACAGCTCAGTCGCACACCCAGGTAAACACACACCCACACACTCACACACCCACTAGCTCACTCTCTCTCTCACACACACACACAATCACAAATGACACAACTCCTGCTGTCCACAAAATATACTCACTCACTCACTCACTCACTCACTATCTCACTCACTCACTCACTCACTCACTATCTCACTCACTCACTCACTCACTATCTCACTCACTCACTCACTCACTCACTCACTCACTATCTCACTCACTCACTATCTCACTCACTCACTATCTCACTCTCTCACTCACTCACTCACTATCTCACTCACTCACTATCTCACTCACTCACTCACTATCTCACTCACGCACTATCTCTCTCACTCACTATCTCTCTCACTCACTCACTATCTCACTCACTCACTCACTATCTCACTCACTCACTCACTATCTCACTCACTCACTCGCTCACTATCTCACTCACTCACTTACTCGCTCACTATCTCACTCACTCACTCACTCAATCACTCACTCACTCACTATATTACTCACTCACTATCTCACTCACTCACTCGCTCACTATCTCACTCACTCACTCGCTCACTATCTCACTCACTCACTCGCTCACTATCTCACTCACTCACTCGCTCACTCACTCACTCGCTCACTATCTCACTCCCTCACTCGCTCACTATCTCACTCACTCACTCGCTCACTATCTCACTCACTCACTCGCTCACTATCTCACTCACTCACTCGCTCACTCACTCACTCATTTACTCACTCACTCGCTCACTATCTCACTCACTCACTCACTCACTCGCTCACTATCTCACTCACTCACTCACTCACTCGCTCACTTACTATCTCACTCACTCACACTTGCTTGCACACACACTCGTACTCACTCACTCACTCACTAGCTCGCTCTCGCACACTCACTCTCGCACTCACTCACACACACACTCGCTTGCACGGACACAAACACACTTGCTTACTCGATCGCACACACACATAAACACAAATTGCACGACTCATGTTGTCCACAGAATATACTAGCTAACACTGTGTGTGTGTTTCTCCAGTAAACGAGTGTCCCAGCAGCCTCCTCCTCCTCCTCCTGGACTGCTGGACTCCATCACTAATATCTTCGGGTATGTCTTGAGTCTTTGTGTTTTGATATTTCTTTCTTTCTTCTCTTCTTCATTCTTTACTCGTGGTGAATCTAACGAGAACATCTCCAGGTCATATTCAAGCCCAACATCTAACGCAAGAAATAAAACATATTTCCTGGACATGTGTTTGTAAGAATGAGAGTGTGTGTGTGTGTGTGTGTGTGTGTGTCTCATATAGAGATGAAACAGTATGAACATTTTATGTTAAGTTATCACACCGAAAATGATCCCGTTTATTAATATCATCATTCTATTGTTAAAATGTGCTGGAAATACACACGCACACACTGAAATAATTTCACCAAGTTTTACATCAAAACCCAACAAACAACAGATAAAATTAGCAGCACTGAGCACTTGTTTTGCCTAATTTAAAAGTGATTAAAGACAAGTGAACATTTAGTAATAAAATAAAAACAAATAAACAAACTACAAGCAGTGACACAAAGAAACACAATACAGGCAAGAGCAGGGAGTGGTTTTCTGTCTTTTGTTGTGTACTAAACATTAAAGGAGTAGTTCACTTTTTTTTTTTTTTTTAACTTTTGCTGATAATTTACTCGCCCCCATGTCATCCAAGATGTCCACGTCTTTCTTTCTTCAGTCGAAAAGAAATGAAGGTTTTTGATGAAAACATTCCAGGATTTTCTCCATATAATGGACTTCAATGGGGTCCAAACATTTCAAGGTCCAAATGAGAGTTTCAGTGCAAACTGCAAACTGTTCAAAGGGCTTTAAACGACACCAGACGATGAATAAGGGTCTTATCAAGCCAAACGATCGCTCATTTAAAAAATAAATAACAAAGTTCAAGTTTTAAAATATTGAACAAAGTTCAAGCGTTCGTGACTCCTGTTGGAACTCGTTCATCAAAATGAACAAATCTTTTCCCTAGTCAACTCGTTCATTTCATTTGTTGAATGAACCTAATGACTCGAAAAAAGATTCGTTCATTTTGATAAACGAGTTCGAACAGGAGAGTCACGAACGCGCATCACAGAACAGAGCAAAGCGAGCATTTGAGCTTATAAAACGTAAACTTTTGATTTATTTTTGAAATGAGCGATCGTTTCGCTAGATAAGACCCTTATTCATCATCTGGAATTGTTTAAAGCCCTTTGAACAGTATGCACTTTGCACTGAAACTCTCATTTGGACCTTGAACCATTTGGACCCCATTGAAGTCCATTATATGGAGAAAATTTCTTTTCGACTGAAGAAAGAAAGACACGGACATCTTGGATGACATGGGGGCGAGTAAATGATCAGCAAAAGTTTCTTTAAAAGTGAACTACTCCTTTAAGGACTCAGATTATTACGCTGCTGTCGCTTTAAGAGCCGCGCTGCGTCCGACGGCTGTTAATCCTGGATCGTGTTTACCGTACCCTTTTCCAATCACGATAATTAAAATATGAATACTAACTGTAGGAATTTTATCATGGTTTGTCATCAAACCGGTGGCTGTTTCATCCCTATTCTCATTAAGTGTGTGTGTGTGTGTGTGTGTGTGTGTGTGTCTCATTCTACACTCTCTCTGTGTCTGCAGCTTGTCTGATTCTGTCCAACCTGGTTTCGTCCCGTCTGACTCCAGGTGACGCACAGTGTGGTGTGTGTGTGTGTGTGTGTGTGTGTGAGTGATTCTCTGGTAAACCCAGGAGCATGCTAACGGAAATATGTTCCTGTGAACGGGATTGTGGGTAACTTCTGTGGTGTCTTCTGCGCGTGTACTTGGATGTATTAGTGACCTCTGCAGGTCTCTTGTTTGCTGTGTGTACTGTAGAGTGTGTGTGTTTTGGCTGGGTGGCTGATTTTCAGGTTAAAACCTCGAGCTTGCATAAATTTCTCTCATTATAGATGTTGAGAGAATTGATCGGATTCATTGAGTAAATTACATCAGGAGTGATCGAATAATGTCAGATTTAATTGTGCATTTTTCCAGTAATGGTTTGAAAGCTCAATTGAAAAAAAAAATCACCTCATACAATTATTTACAAACACATACACACTATATATATATGTATATAATGTATATCTACAAATAAATGTACATATATATACACACACACACATATATATATATATATAGACACACACACACATATATACATATATATAGACACACACACACATATATATATATTTAAAAAAAAATATGTGTATGTGTATATATATATATATACATATGCATGTGTATATATATATGAAGAGTTCAGATGCAAAAGCCTCTAAATGCCATTTGAAATTTTCTTCTTTAATGATGATTTTTATCAAACTTGCATATTTAAGTTCAGTAATTTCACTTAAATAACAATTAATAGGTAATCTTCATTGCCATTTAAGTGAAATTACTGAACTTAAATGTACAAGCTTGATAAAAATCATCATTAAAGAAGAAAATTTCAAATGGCATTTAGAGGCTTTTGCATCTGAACTCTTCATATAGTATATATATATATATATATATATATATATATATATATATATATATTTGTAAATAAAATCGCAATTTGCAACAGTTATACCAAATACAACTTTAACATTTTTTGCCCTATTGAGCTTTCATTGCCATACGACTACTGGAAGAATGCACAACTAAATGCAATATTGTGATTTAATGAATAAAAGACTAAAGACAAAAATTATACACTATGTAAATTGCAATTTAATGTTGTAATTATTTTGGGCTTTAGTCTTTTCATTGATCAAATCACATACAATTTCAGACAATTAGACAAACATTGGTGTGTATTTTATACATGATTATCATTACAAAAAAATATGTAGTTGGAATGTTTTTTTTAAATTGCATTTTGCACAAGTTCTCAAATAAAAGTGTGTGTGTGTATATGTATGTATATATCACTAGCGATAATTTATATTTTAAATATAGATAGTTAAGCATATTTTTGTGCATATTTAATTGTTTTTATCCTTTTTTTTATTTTGTCACCCACCCAAATTTGGCTGCACACAGGTTTGAGTTGGCTTTCAAGTGTCGTCTTTGCATCAGAGTTTTGTGTGTGAGTGAAAGAGTCGATGTTTTACCTCGAAAAAATAATTTCTTCTCGCGATTATAAACACTTCGGTCCAAGAACGAGTCGCTTTATGATCGAGGTTTGGTTCCTCGCCACTGCTGCCTTTTTTCTCCTTTGTTGTTGCTTAGTTGGGGATATTAAATTTAACATTTATTTAATATTCATCTATTAATCTGCCTCCATTGACACCATTATATGAGAACTGAACTGAGCTGGACGATGACATCATGGTTTTCTCCAGAGCGTCTATATATATATATATATGAAGAGTTCAGATGCAAAAGCCTCTAAATGCCATTTGAAATTTTCTTCTTTAATAATGATTTTTTATCAAGCTTGTATATCTAAGTTCAGTAATTTCACTTAAATAACAATTAATAGGTAATCTTCATTGCCATTTAAGTGAAATTACTGAACTTAAATACACAAGCTTGATAAAAATGCTCATTCTAGAAGAAAATTTCAAATGGCACTTAGAGGCTTTTGCATCTGAACTCTTCATATATATATAAATGAACTAAATTAAAGGTGCTATATGTATTTTTTTGCGTCACACACAGGCTATAAAAAAAAGGATTAATTTTAGAAGAAAAGTTACATATGCCACCTTTATTAACTTTTTTACACCAAAATGAACCATCTGAACTTACTTAAGCTGGACTGTGACGCTATGTAACAAACTTTGCTTTGTTATCTCTGTAAAGCTGCTTTGAAACACTCTGTATTGTATAAATAAATGTGACTTGACATGGTTTGTAAGAAGGTTAGGTGTTGAGTCCAGCCCTGTGTGACACACACACACACATGCTTTCTTCCCCATAGAAGACGTCGCTCGGTGAACTCGTTCAGCTCGTCTCCTGAGGCTGCAGAAGCGCAGGCGGTGTGCGCTGACGTCCGAGTCCCCTCCACTGCGATACACATCTTCGTAAGTCACACCATCATGCATGCAACTCGTTCTGCTGGGGTTAGTATGGAAGTGTTTTCCTAACAAAGTAAAAATGAAATTGCTAAAAAATAGCAAAGTTTAGAAAAAAACCCGCCACAGAATGAAAAATAAAAAAGGTAATTGCAACTTTTTATCTCACAATTCTGACTTTATTTCTCAGAATTCTGACTTCATATCTCGCAATTGCTACTTTATTTTTCAGAATTGCAACTTTAAATCTCGCAATTGCTACTTTATTTCTCACAATTACAACTTTATATCTCGCAATTGCCACTTAATTTCTCAATTGCGCCTTTATATCTCGCAATTGTGACTTTATTTCTCACAATTACAACTTTATATCTCGCAATTGCCACTTTATTTCTCAGAATTGCAACTTTATTTCTCACAATTCTGACTTCATATCTCGCAATTGCTACTTTATTTCTCAGAATTGCAACTTTAAATCTCGCAATTGCGACTTTATTTCTCAGAATTGCAACTTTAAATCTCGCAATTGCGACTTTATTTCTCACAATTACAACTTTATATCTCGCAATTGCCACTTTATTTCTCAGAATTGCAACTTTATTTCTCACAATTCTGACTTCATATCTCGCAATTGCTACTTTATTTTTCAGAATTGCAACTTTAAATCTCGCAATTGCCACTTTATTTCTCAGAATTGCAACTTTAAATCTCGCAATTGCAACTTTATTTCTCAGAATTGCAACTTTAAATCTCACAATTGCGACTTTATTTCTCACAATTACAACTTTATATCTCGCAACTGCCACTTTATTTCTTTGAATTGCAACTTTATTTCTCACAATTCTGACTTCATATCTCGCAATTGCAACTTTATTTCTCACAATTACAACTTTATATCATCGCAATTGCCACTTTATTTCTCAGAATTGCAACTTTATTTCTCAGAATTGTAACTTTATATCTCGCAATTGCAACTTTATTGCTCAGAATTGTGACTTCAATTCTCACATTTCTGACTTCATATCTCGCAATTGTGACTATTTCTCAGAATTACAACTTTATCTCGCAATTGCGACTTTAAATCGCACAATTCTGACTTCATATCTCGCAATTGCGACTTTATTTCTCAGAATTGCGACTTTATTGCAGTGTTATTTCACATTTCAGTAGTTTCTGTTCCTGAAAATCTCAAAACACGGTTTATTTCAATCGTATCTTTCTTCAGTTGTCTCTATTTGTTACAATTTGGTTTAACTGTCTTTAATAATGCTTGAAATTTACATTACAGTTACAGTTAGGCTAGTTGTTTTTCTATGGTATTTTTAAACCACAGGCAAACTCTAAAAGTCTTTAGTTTCGCAGTAAGACTAAATGAGAATGATGCCTACGTTTTTTTTTTTCCCTAATTGGAATCGAAATTAGGAATCGATAAGCAGAATCTAAATGAAAATCATAATCGTTAAAACTCAAACGATACCCAAACTTAGTTGAGCTTCAAAGGTCAATGATGTGATTTGTAAAAGGTCTGATATCCAGGTCTCCTCCCAGTCCTGTCCTCCCAACAGCCGCTCTTAATTTTCCCAGCATGCTCTAGCTGTGCATCACTGGTTTTAGTGGCGGCTGATAGATATAATGGACGTTCTTGCTGAATACGAGTCTTTTAGAGAAGCAAGCGAGACGTCGACGGCAGCGTCCAACAGTTACACAACATTCAGGAGTGAAGGATTGGGAAGAGGACGTTAAACTGGTGCATGATCTCAAGTTTTCAAGCTGAGACCTTTCAAAACAAACAAGAAAACCATCGCTTTTTGCTTTGAAATATTCCGAAAAATCTTTTTTATTCGAGTTTCTATTTTCTAATAGTAGTCTTGATTGATTTTTTTTCTACAATGTGTCTATCGTTTAACAAATTCATAACATTCTTTACTTCAAAGAGCTCATAGTTTCTGTCTTAAATTATTATATACTTTTTTTTTTTTAGCTAACTGTGATTTTAGATTTTGTATATAAACAGTCAAACCAAAAATTATTCAAACACCAAATTTTTTACTAGTGTGTGCAGGAATTTGTGTTATTATTGCATATTCTACCCATAATTCTTCATATAGTGACTACCAGTAATATCTATAAAAAAATTGGGACCAAAAATGATTCCTCCACTTTAACCTGATCATGTTTTCTGTAATTGCTGATGCTCTTTTTACACACACACTGAACAACATGAAGCATTGCTTGGTGATTGGTTGAGCTAAACTGGTATTATCTAATTTAACAGCCGACAGATATTCAACATAATTCATCTGTGAGAGTCCAACAGAAGGACGGACAAAACCAGTCAAATATCCACTGATTTTGAGAAATGTTGAAAGAACAGACTCTAAATTGTAATGTGGACTGATGTGTATTGTGAGAAGCGCTTTACAAACACATATGAATTGAATTAAAAGTGAATGTGTTTGTGTTTAGGACGCCCATGATGGGGAAGTGAACGCGGTGAGGTTCAGTCCCGGTTCCCGTCTGCTCGCCACGGGAGGAATGGATCGCAGGGTGAAACTCTGGGAGGTCGTATCCGGTGTGTAAACGTGTTATTCACAGTTTTACTAGAGTTCAAAGGTCAGTGATGAGATGTAAAAGGTCCGAAGCCTTGCCTCCTTTCAGTCCCTCCCATTCGCCACTCTTAACACCCTTCCCAGCATGCTCTAGTCATGCATCGCCGGGCAAAGGTGGCGGCTGATATTATGGACGTTTCTGCTGCATTTATAGTCTTAGAGTCGAGAATAATAAGACGTCGACAGCAGCGTCCGACAGGAACTGGACACGCGAGGAGGGCCGGACTCCAGGAGAGCGTTTGACGGGCTTATGATCTCAAGTTTTCAAGCTGAGACCTTCAGTCGTTTCAAAGAGGAAATTGTGCATTACACCAGTGCAGTTTCACAAGGTTTAATGAAGCAACTGCACAATTTCTGCTTCCTCCTGAAACAAAGATGCATGTATATGTTCAGTTGTGGGGTTTTAAAAGCTTTTGTGTGTGTTTCAACAGGCCGATGTGAACCCAAAGGTGCGCTGACGGGAAGTAATGCTGGAATCACCAGTATAGAGTTTGATAGTGCGGTGAGTTAAGGCCCGTTTCACACCCAAAACAGTAAAGTTCACTTCAGACTCATCTAAGATGTTCATGTGTGTGTTCAGTGGAAAATAAATGAAGGTTTTTGGGTGTTTCTCCTAGGGATGCACGATGTATCGGCCGATATATGAAGAGTTCAGATGCAAAAGCCTCTAAGTGCCATTTGAAATTTTCTTCTAAAATGGTCATTTTTATCAAGCTTATATATTTAAGCCCAGTAATTTCACTAAAATGACAATTAATAGGTAATTCTCATTGCAATTTAAGTGAAATTACTGAACTTAAATATATAAGCTTGATAAAAATGATCATTCTAGCAGAAAATTTCAAAAGGCACTTAGAGGCTTTTGCATCTGAACTCTTCATATGTTCATTTTTAATGTTATCGTTATCGGCCTTGTGGCCGATATATTAAAGCCGATAAATAATGTATTATTCCCTTCAGCTGAGACACTTGTTCAGCACTGTTTATGATTTTGATTTTCTTGAAATATTTTTGAAATCTCTTTTTTAAAAAATAAAATATGGTTCAGTACAACATGTGCAGCACAAATCTGTCATATCGGCTGTACAACACTATAATGAGAACATCATTATAATTGTGCGCTGGAAACATGGATTTAATTGTGAGATTTTTGTTTTTGTAATCAGGCCCTCAAAATTAGATAAAAATTTGGATTTAAATTTATCGACCGATATATCGGTTATCAGCTTTCAAATATAAAGAATTATCGGTTATCGGTATCGGCCAAAATTTTCATATCGGTGCATCCCTAGTTTCTCCATATAGTGACTTCAATGGGGTCCAACGGGTCGAGATGTGAGTTTCAGTGCGGCTTCAAAGTCTCGACACGATCCAGCCGAGGAATAAGAGTCTGATCCAGACTAACCAGACGACTTTTTTAACTAAATAAACATTTATATACTTTTTAACCATAAATGCTCGTCTTGCACGTCACACGTTATGTAATCACGTTGGAAAGGCCGGGAAATGTAGGGGGACATCGTTGTTTTACAGTATTTTTTGGTAAAGGGCGTTTCGACTTGACTTTGCATGTTCGCTTTGTAAACACTGGGTTGGTTCTTACCCCTACGTCACGCTTGACCTTGCAACGTGATTACGTAATGTATTTATATTTGAAGAGTTCAGATGCAAAAGCCTCTAAATGCCATTTGAAATTTTCTCCTTTAATGATGATTTTTATCAAACTTGTATATTTAAGTTCAGTAATTTCACTTAACAATTAATAGGTAATTTAATTGCCGTTTAAGTGAAATCACTGAACTTAAATACAAGTTTGAAAATCATCATTAAAGAAGAAAATTTCAAATGGCTTTTAGAGGCTTTTGCATCTGAACTCTTCATTTATATATTTGTCTGGATCAGACTCTTATTCCTCGGCTGGAATCGTGTCGAGACTTTGAAGCTGCACTGAAACTCACATCTTGACCCCATTGAAGTCACTATATGAAGAACAATGTTTTGCAATGTGAATATCTACGTTTTTTCTTCCTGAATCGATAAGCAGAATCTAAATGAAAATCATAATCGTTAAAACTCAAACGATACCCAACCCTAGTTGAGCTTCAAAGGTCAATGATGTGATTTGTAAAAGGTCTGATATCCAGGTCTCCTCCCAGTCCTGTCCTCCCAGCAGCCGCTCTTAATTTTCCCAGCATGCTCTAGCTGTGCATCACTGGTTTTAGTGGCGGCTGATAGATATAATGGACGTTCTTGCTGAATACGAGTCTTTTAGAGAAGCAAGCGAGACGTCGACGGCAGCGTCCAACAGAAACACAACATTCAGGAGTGAAGGATTGGGAAGAGGACGTTAAACTGGTGCATGATCTCAAGTTTTCAAGCTGAGACCTTTCAAAACAAACAAGAAAACCATCGGCCATTTTATAACACAGTAAACATTTGGCGGATCACAGCTAGTGCAAGTTGAGCATTTCTGCTTAGCCCTCAAACCGTATTCACAAATGTGGGCATAGAGGACTATATCACTGTCTTCGATAAAGTTTTTTCTATCTATTTAAGGTGTTTTTTTTATTTTGGGGGTATTTTTGACTGTATTTACTTCAAAAAGTACCATATTTTCTTTGTAAATTATGCTTATTTTTTTAACTACATTAAAATATCATTCCAATAAGTTCTTAGAGCTGAAACCTAAAGATGAATTTTGGCTTATTTTAGAATGCTCTAAATTACAGTTTTTCCCATTCATTTCTATGGGCGCCCATTTTTGACCCAAATACAAGATTAAGGAGTTTTTTTCACCCACTTAACATTGTAGAATTGAGTAAAAAAAAAAAATGTGTGTGTCCAGGAGGCAAAATTAGGAAAAGTAGCCACGTCTTGTACCGCTCAGATCAAGGGAAGTATTTTTAAACTATTTTGCCCACATTGGTCCATAATACGGTTTTAGGGTTTAAAAAGTATATCTGACTAAACCCCAGCGAACGCTAAAAAAAGGCTGAAGTGTGTTTTACTGTAGTGACTGATTGCTTTGTGCTTGTGTTTTGCAGGGAACGCATTTACTGGCCGCTTCTAACGACTTCGCCAGCAGAATCTGGACTGTTGATGACTTCAGACTGCGGGTGAGGAAACACACACACACACACACACACACTTTAGGTTTGGTGGCATGTTAAGCACATACGCTCAAGGACTTTAGCAAACACGCTTTTAGCTGTAAATGTTTATATTTTACTGTGGTTTCAGTCACATTGACAATAAAACCTGTTAGATTCTGTGTTTCTCTTATTGTATTTGTTCATTTTGTTCATGCATTTAATTATTGATGGTATTAGTCTTTTTTTATGCATTTTATATAGTGGCTAAGTGATATCCAGAGAGAATTGTTTTTTAATGACCCTACAAGTTCAAATAAACCATCAAAATATGAGGAAGCTATTAAATATGGGGGAAGAAAAAATTTTATCTGACAAAATTATTTATTTTGATAATATTTTTAATATTATTATATATTATAGATATATTTTTAAAATTATTTATTATAATAATATTTTTATTTATTATTATAAAAACTACAGGATTTGTTTTACTATGCTAAAACAACAAAATGCACTGAAAAACATGATGCACAAAAAAACAACAATCAGTTACTGATATTTCATTGGTGCTCTCTTGTTCATAATTTCTTTGTATGGCAGGCTGGCTAAAAATAATTCCTGCTAAATTTGTCATGTTTTATTGCGTTTTATCAAATAAACTCCAAGCCCAACTTTGCAATATGCTAATTCTTGCACAAATTGGAATATATTTCTAGCCCAGACGTCATTACATCCATGCAAGTTATGCTTTCTTTTGTTCTAAATAAAATAAAATACTGCCGTCCTGAGATTTACTGCAAACTGCTTAAAGTTCACTAAGCTTTATTTGGTGTATCAAAGGTCAATGATGTGATGTAAAAGGTCTGAAGTCCAAATCTCCTTCCAGTCCCTTCATCCCTCTCAGCCAGCCCTAGTCATTTTCCCAGCATGCTCGAGTTGTGCATCACTGGTTTGATGTGGTGGCTGATATCATGGGTGTTTCTGCTGAATGAGAGTCTCGTTAGAGAATCACGTGAGACTCTGACAGTAACATCCCACAGCCAGACGACACACGCATGAGGGCAGGACTGAAGGAGGCTGGTCAGCTGATCTCACAAATCGCACTGAGACCTCAATTCAGTCTCGGTTACTGCTGAAACAATTGTTTGCATGCTTGTTTGATTGTTTGTTATTGTCTTGTCCCAAAGCACACACTCACAGGTCACAGCGGGAAGGTTTTATCTGCTCGGTTTCTCCTCGACAACGCTCGAATCGTCTCCGGCAGTTACGATCGAACGCTCAAGCTCTGGGATTTACGCAGCAAAGTCTGTAAGAGACTCTTAGTTCTTATACTCTTTCTTAATTGCCACTATGCATGAATATTATGCAAATCGGGGCTTGAAAATTATTACTTTTTTTTAACCTTTAGAGAATGTTTTTTGTCCACTTCTGGGTGACAAACTAAGTAATAATTAATATTAATTCAATTGATAAAATAAAACAAATGTATATTTTAATACTAGTTAATACTAATACTGAAATGTGAAAAGTGGCTTGTTGTAAAAATGTATATTTTAATGGTAACGTATCTAAATAAATCTTTTCTATGAAGAACATGGGATTTGTATGGAAGCTTGTTTCCACCAGGGAATAAAAAAAATCAAAAGATTGCGACTTTTTTTCTTACAATTGTGAGTCCATATCTCACGATACTGAGAAATAAAGTCGCGATACTGAGAAATAAAGTCGCAATACTCAAATATAGCAATAGTCAGAAATAAAGTTGCAATTCTGAAATAAAGTTGCTATTGTGAAAAATGGTTGCGATTATGCTAAATATTGTCGCAATAGAAATTCTAAGAAAGTCGCAAAACTCAAAAATATTTGAGATTCTGATAAAGTTGTGGTTCTGAGAGTCTCGTTTCTGCAAAATAAATCACAATACTCAGGATTCAGGAAGAAAGTCACAATACTAATAACTATGCACAGAAATAAAGATGCGATTCTGAGAAATTGTACTCAGGAAAAAAAGTTGTGATTCTGAGAAGTAAAGAAATAAATTTCAAATAGGCAGAAATAAATTTGTGATTCTGAGAAATAAAGAAATAAATTCCCAATTCTGAGAAATATAGTCGTGATTATAAGAAATTTAAAGTGGCAGAAATAAATTCACGATTCTGAGAAAGTTGCAATACTCAGACATATTTGAGATTATGAGAAATAGAGGTGAGGTCCTGAGAAAGTTGCGATTTAAGAAATAAAAATGCAACGCTCAGAAATAAAGTCGCAATTCGGAGAAATATAGTCGTGATTGTAAGAAATTGCAGCGATTGCGAAATAAGGTCACAATACTCAGAAATAAAGTTGCGATTCTAAGAAATATAGTCGTGATTGTGACTTTATTTCTGAGTATTGTGACTTTATTCTGCAGTCGCGTCAATTTCTTGCAATTCTGAGAAATATAGTCCTGATTGTAAGAAATTGCCACGATTCTGTGGAATAAAGTTGCAATACTCAAACATATTTGAGATTCTGAGAAATAAAGTTGAGATTCTGAGAAAGTTGCGATTCTGCAAAATTAATCACAATACTCTGGAAGAAAGTCACAATTTTGAGAAATATTCACAATTCTGAGAAATTATCACTACGCTAAGAAATAAAGATGCGATTCTGAGAAATTAAGTCTACTCAGAATTAAAGTTGTGATTATGGGAAATAAAGAAACCAATTTCCAATAGGCAGATATAAATTTGTGATTCTGAGAAATAGTCGCAATTCTAAGAAATATAGTCGTGATTGTAAGAAATTGCAGCGATTGCGGAATAAGGTCACAATACTCAGAAATAAAGTTGCGATTCTAAGAAATATAGTCGTGATTGTGACTTTATTTCTGAGTATTGTGACTTTATTCCGCAGTCGCGTCAATTTCTTGCAATTCTGAGAAATATAGTCCTGATTGTAAGAAATTGCCACGATTCTGTGGAATAAAGTTGCAATACTCAAAAATAAAGTCGCAATTCTTAGAAATATAGTCGTTATTGTAAGAAATTGCAGCGATTGCGGAATAAGGTCACAATACTCCGAAATAAAGTTGCGATTCTTAGAAATATAGTCCTGATTGTAAGAAATTGCCACGATTCTGTGGAATAAAGTCGCAATACTCAAAAATAAAGTCGCAATTCTTAGAAATATAGTCGTTATTGTAAGAAATTGCAGCGATTGTGGAATAAGGTCACAATACTCCGAAATAAAGTTGCGATTCTAAGAAATATAGTCGTGATTGTAAGAAATTGCCGCGATTCTGTGGAATAAAGTCGCAATACTCAAAAATAAAGTTGCGATTCTAAGAAATATAGTCATAATTGTGACTTTATTTCTGAGTATTGTGACTTTATTCCACAGAATCGCGGCAATTTCTTACAATCACGACTAAATTCCTCAGATTTGCAAGAAATTGACGCGACTCTGCGGAATAAAGTCACAATACTCAGAAATAAAGACGCGATGCTCAGAAATAAAGTCGCAATTCAAAAGAATATAGTCTTGATTTTAAGAAATTGTCGCGATGCTGGAGAATAAAGTCCCAATTAGCAGAAACAAAGCCTATGATTCTAAGAAGTAAAGAAATCAATTGTGAATACTTAGAAATAAAGTTGCGATTCTAAGAATTATTTGTGATATTAAGAAATGAAGACGCGATGCTCAGAAATTAAGTGTCAATTCTGAGGAATATAGTCGTGATTGTAAGAAATTGTCGCGATTCTACAGAATAAATTCGCAATACTAAAAAATATTTGCGATATTTAGAATCTGAGTATTGTGACTGTATTTCTGAGAAATAAAGAAATAAATTGTGAATACTTAGAAATAAATGTGCGATTGAAATAAATTTTTAGAAAAAAAGTCTTTTTCATTCTTCAGTGGAAACAAGCTTCCATAGATTTGTGCCTTATCGAATTTACACCAAACTGTACTTGTTGCTTTTAATGGTCTCAAAATGAATGACCAATCTGACCAATCGAACTCTTTTCCTCAGGCATGAAGACGGTGTTTGCCGGCTCTAGCTGTAATGACATCGTCTGCACGGAGCAGTGTGTGATGAGCGGACACTTCGACAAGAAAGTTCGTTTCTGGGACATCAGGCGAGTCGTGATTTGGATCCCAGCGCTCAGATCTGTGCTCGTAAGTCTCGTTCAGTGGCTCAGTCACTAATGTTGTGTGTGTGTGTGTGTGTGTGTTTAGAGCGGAGAGTATCGTGAACGAGTTGGAGTTGCTGGGACGCGTTACGTCTTTGGATCTGAATCACGACCGGACCGACCTCCTGACCTGCTCTCGGGACGACCTAGTGAAAATAATCGATCTGCGCTGTAATGCAGTGCGACAGACCTTCAAGTATGTCACACTTTATGTATAATAGGTTATTTTATTTTATTTTTAATGTCTGGTGCATAAAAAATAAATAAAAAACCTCATGTTTTTGCAGTGCTCAAGGATTCAAGTGCGGCTCTGACTTCACCAGGGTCACATTCAGGTTCGAGTCTGCACGAGTTTCACTTCATATGGTTATTCACATTTTCAGAACAGACTAGATCGTGGGTTACCTTAATAATTAGTCTTGAGGAAACCCTGTATAATTAGGCTGGTTTGGGTCTTTTCAGCCACACGGGTGTGTTTTGACAAATATTTGACAATTAAATAAGTTAAAACCATTAAAGACATCAAATGTTTACTTAAAGTCCCCCTGATAATATATATATATATATATATATATATTAATAGTTTAACTTCACATTTGCATGTTCACAGTTCTCTCTTTGTTACTGATCACATGACATGCAAGTAAATAGATTTTAGTAAGTGTTTTATTTTGACTTGTTTTTATTTGTGTGTGTGCTGCTGCTGATTCATGGATGCTAACAAGAATAATTGCAATTTGAAGTTGTTATTATTAGTTTTAACTTTAGGTATACAACATTTATGACAAATATATTAGCTCATTTCTATATGGATATATGAATAATATATATATATATATATATATATATATATATGTATGTATATGTATGAAGTGTTCAGATGCAAAAGCCTCTAAGTGCCATTTGAAATTTGAAGATTATGAAGATTACCTATTAATTGTCATTTAAGTGAAATTACTGAACTTAAATATACAAGCTTGATCGAAATGGTAATTTTAGAAGAAAATTTCAAATGGCATTGAGAGGCTTTTGCATCTGAACTCTTCATATATATATATATATATATAATATTTATTGTTTGTATATTACAATTGCATTGTAAAATGAACTCTGGAGTGCTTTTGTTTTCAGTCCTGACGGGAGTTACGTGGCGGCCGGTTCTGCAGACGGCGCTCTGTACATCTGGAACGTTCTAACAGGAAAACTAGACAAAACTCTTGATAAGGGTCACAGGTGAGCAGAATGAGACACACACACACACACACATTTCCTGAGGTCAATGTAGCATGGCATGTTATGTTTACAAGCCGTTTCATCGACTGTTCCAACACTGTGTGATTACATGAGACTTTATTAATTTCAGTCAGCTGATCTGCATCTTTCAGCAAACCTTCTGATGCTCACTCATTTCATTTCATCCTATAATAAAATAATTAGCAGTAAAGAGGAAGAGATGATCGCTCGCAGCTACAGCGATGATAGGAAATGATAAAATTTGAATGCTGAGACTTTTTTTTATATCAGAAGCAGCATTGTGATTAGTGGATAGTAGGCACACTATGAACATGAATTAGTAAAACTTCACAACTGTAAATGCCATATACTAAAAGATTGAGTTTTAGGAATATTAATATACATATAAAATCAATTAATTGCTGTTAAACCCAGCCCTAAGATACAATATTAATTAATTTCAATGTGTTCTGGTTGAATGCTGCACGATTTAGTAAATGTATCCGGTCGTCTGAGTATTATTACGTGGATGCGCACAATGGTTTTGCTGTATTTATGAATTTGCTGAGGCATTATGGCAAACCTACAAATTGCTTCATTGTGTGTTTCCTTCCACACTCGACGGCTCTCATGACGTCCTGTCTCTCTGTCCTGTTTGCAGTTCTGCCATAAACGCGGTGTCCTGGTCTCCGTCGGGAGCGTACGTGGCCAGCGTGGAGAAAGGCAGCAAGGCCGTGCTTTGGTCTGACATGTGATCAGCGATTGGTTGAAACGGACTGTAAACACACAGAGAGAGAGAGAGAGTGAGCCCACCCTCATGTCCCACTGGCCTCTTGAACTACCTTTCCCACAATGCCATGTTTCTGGGTGTGTTGCCTGCCTGTACGATCGGGCAGCACCGCACACGTAATTATACATGGATATATTTATATCGGCTTTCCTGTACTGTCTCGCACACACACTAGATGTGGGACGATGAAGATTATGCAAATGACTCGTTGTCCTACACGACTCTTACTGCTTATTTTAACACGGCTTTAAATTAGTGTGTGTGTTTGAGTGCGTTTACTGTTGGGAGATTATGCTTTGCCTTATACAGATACAGGTCATTAAGATGTGTGTGTGTGTGTGTGTGTGTGTTGGAGTGCTGGAAATCCTGCAGCTCCCCTTTATAAACTGGAATATCGAACAGCAACCCAATTTTCTTTAGGATGAATCTTACAAAGAAATGCCTCACATTTTGCTTAAAGAACATGCAGGATTTATGATTTTGAGATTTTTTTTTTTTTTTTTACTTTTAAGCACATTTAACCCCCATGCACTTAAAAAAATGCCGTCATGAACGAGAACTGAGTTCTCCTACTGTAATGCAGTAAGGATTATGACGTCGTCCGCAAAGGGCTTTTATTTATTACAATCTGCATAAACTGAAGCCAGAACACGTGCTTTTATTATGTAATTATATTATAATAAATATATATTATAATTGCCATTTTTCCCACAACATCACCCACAGAAATTATACTTTTTTTAGATTACACTAATACATTTTGGGGCACAAATGTGTTTGAATTAAAAAAAAATGTGCACGTTTAAAGTAATAAAAATCTTAATTTTCTCAATGCAAAATGTAGTAATTTTGACGTGTTTTTTTGTGATGGCATCTGATTATGTTGATGCTCTGATTATTGGTCAGATTCAAAATTCAAGAAGTATTTCCCACAATTCCCTCCTATAACTCAAAATATATAGACTCATTTAATTTGACACTACTGAAAATGAGGCTGTGTCACATCGCGTATTATTTGGTCCAATCACAGCGCTCGCTATCATAAGCCCCTCCCCTCGGGTCCTGGATGATGTGTGTGTGTGTGTGGTGAACGTGTGATGTAGGGCTGTCAAACGATTAATTGCGATTAATCGCATCCAAAATAAAAGTTTGTGTTTACATAATATATGTGGGTGCACTGTATACTTATTGTATATATATAAATACACACACATGAATGTATATTTAAGAAAAAAAATATAAAAGCATGTGTGTGTTTTTATATATATATATATATATATAAAATAATTATATATTATGTAAACACAAACTTTTATTTTGGATGCGATTAATCGACTGACAGCCCTAGTGTGATGTATGCAGTGACTCTGAATGTGTGTTTTAGTGAAGAAAACTATGCTATGTTGATCTTTATTTTAATTTAATTTTTATTTACGATGCACACGAGCTCATATCCTCCGAGCATGATGTCTGTTTCAAATACTGTAACTCTGCTCAGCTGTTTCTGCGAAGGAAAACAAGTGCACTTGTTATGTTCCCTGACGCCAGGTGACATTTGCACTTACCGTAGCTAAAAACAAACAAATGACTGTAATGCTCCTTCACCCTCCATGTCTAACACTATAACTGATGTGTCTGTGATCACATTAGCTCGATTTAAAACACTTGTGTCCCCGACGCTCAACACTGGAGTCTAAGGTGCCAAACAAGTGTACTTGGTTTCAGATTGTGAGTGGAGGGGACAACACAAGTCCCCTCATGGATGACTTGTGGGTGTGGCTAGCATTTAGCCCCACCCCCTCAGATAATTTATGGGTGTGGCTTGTGTTTAGCACACGTTTTTGGCTGTGGCTGAGAGTGGGCACTATTGTATCGCTCAACGGACTGTGGAAGGTAATTGTCGCTAATGTATATGAGGTCTCTGTATATGTCTGCTTAATGTTTGCACACCATAAAATGTGTGAGACGTTACTTGCATTTGTCTGTCTTTTTCCTTGAATTTAAAAACTGGAACATCATGTCGATTAGAGTGGCTAATTGATTTATCTTTATAGTGTCTGGAAAGCGTTTTAAACGTGCCCTCGCATAGTCCATACATGCAAAACAAGCTATACAGGTGAAACTGGAAAAATGTGAATATCATGGAAAAGTTCATTTGTTTCAGTAGGCTAATTCAACTTAAAAGGTAAAACTAATATACTCATTACTTGCAAAGTGAGATATTTCACGCCTTTGTTATAATTTTGATGATTATGGATTATGAAAACCTTTTCACAATATTCGAATTTTGAATTTGTTTTTTCATAATCATCAAAATTATAAAATTTCACCTGTAGCCTATTTTCTTAATGGTATCATTTTTGTGAGATTTGTCCATAAACGGATGGTAAGTGCGTTTCCATTACAGATTTGCGCAAAACTTTTGCGCTTTTTTTTTTATAAATGTAGATTAAAAACGATGCCGATTCCAGCGACTTTGGAGAGACTCCACCAAAAATGACGAAACTCAATATGGTTTTGTTCCAACACAGCCTCATGAATGTGCGCATCTATACCACGATTGTCATTGTTTTGTTCGGTTCGAAGGAGCCCGGTCTCCAACGGATCCGTTGATTTTTCGCCGAGATATTTGCGATTTTCTCCCGAGCTCGTGCCGCCATCTCAGAGCACGGCCGACGGTTTTCGGCTAATATCTCCGTGAATACTCCATGAAAAATGACGAAACGTTTATGGTTTTAATTTTATTCAGTTCGGTGAGACAGTTCGAAGGAGCCCAGTGTCCCCCAGATACGTTGAATTTTCGCTGAGATATTTGCGGTTTTCGATTTTGGGGGAGCTTTGGGGCCTTATCTCGGGCCCATGAGGCTGGGGGTGGACCCCTTCGAAAGGTATCGGTCCGTTCTCCACTCGATAAAAATTTGGCGTCGAAACGTTGATTTTTCGGCAAGATATTTACGATTTTCTCCCGAGCTCGTGGTGCCATCTCAGAGAGCGGCTGATGGTTTTCGGCTAATACCTCCGCGAATACTCCATGAAAAATTATGAAACGTATATGGTTTTATTCAGTTCGGTGAGACTGTTCGAAGAAGCCCGGTGCCCCCCTGATTGAGTTTTCGCTGAGATATTTTCGTTTTTCGCTTCCGGGGGGGCTTTGGGGCCTTATCTCGGGCCCACGAGGCTGGGGGTGGTCTCTTTCGAAAGGTCTCGGTCCATTCTCCACTCGATAAAAATTTGGCGTCGAAACGTTGATTTTTCGGCGAGATATTTACGATTTTCTCCCGAGGTCGTGGCGCCATTTCAGAGCGCGGCCGACGGTTTTCGGTTAATATCTCCGCAAATACTCCACCAAAAATGACGAAACGCATATGGTTTTGTTCAGTTCGAAGAGACGGTTCGAAGAAGCCCGGTCTCCGACGGATCCATTGATTTTTCATCGAGATAGTTGCGATATTTTCCCGAGCTCGTGGCGCCATTTCAGAGAGCGGCCGACGGTTTTCGGCTAATGTATCTGCGAATACTCCATCAAAAATGACGAAACGTATATGGTTTTATTCCGTTCGAATGAGCCCCGTGTCCCCCGGATACATTGAGTTTTCGCTGAGATATTTGCGTTTTTCGCTTCCGGGGGGGCTTTGGGGGCCTGTATCTCGGGCCCACGAGGCTGGGGGTGGTCTCTTTCAAAAGGTCTCGGTCCGTTCTCAGTTCGAAGATACGGTTTGAAGGAGCCTGATCTCCGACGGATCCGTTGATTTTTTTCGCCGAGATATTTGTATAAGTTCTCACCGAACTGAATAAAACCATATGTGTTTCGTAATTTTTGATGGAGTATTAACCTAACCCAACTTATCGGGTACGGAAATTGAATTATCGAATGTAAAATAAGTTTTTTTAAATCATTTTTATTTTCTATATAGTCGAAACTCCCCAACAAAATCACCCAAATCATTCTGTAATGATGCATTCTTTCCGAGCCATAGAGCTTATTTAAGTTATCATCTGAAAATTCCTGTATTTTTTAACATACAATATTGGCGGAAAAGCAAAATTTATTAATGTCAGTTTTTTTGTTAATATTGCTCAGCCCCCTTTGATTAAAAAAATCGAGTTTTTGATTTCTCAGATTTCCCTGCTATAGTTATATAGAGATGTGTGTGTGTGTGTGTGTGTGTGTGTGTGTGTGTGTGTGTGTGTGTGTGTGTGTGTGTGTGTGTGTGTGTGTGTGTGTGTGTGTGTGTGTGTGTGTGAATAATGAGTTTGTCTGGCGTTTCTCAGACCCTGACAGCCGCTCAGTGTGTGTACGTGAGACGCGCGCGATAAGAGGGTCTTTTCTCTGTGTTTAATCCATGCGCTGACATCAGCACTGACACTCAGACTGCTGACACTGACTATCACAGATTGGTTTATCAGCCCAGCGCTCAGTGTCTCTCTCTCTCTCTCTCTCTCTCTCTCCGTCTGTCTGTGCGTGTTCGTGTTGGTTTCCAACCCACTACAACACCTCTCTCTCTCTCTCTCTCTCTCTCTCTAAATAGCAACAAACATGAAATGGAACGTTCCAGACCTGTCTTCTGATTGGTCGATCGAGTGTTCCATTAACTATTAACCTCAGTGTGTGTGTGTGTGTGTGAGAGAGAGACATTAACTGACACTATTAGATCTCAATCAGTCGGATTCAGAAAATAATGTTCCTAAATATGTCTTCCGAAAACATACTGTAACACAAAGTCAAATTAATATTCAGATCTTCATCATTTCTCACTTTATCACAGTTTATTCGCTATAGTTTAGAAAATGGTAATAAATATGACGAACTCAGAGTTATTAAATCAGTGGATATTTGACTGGTTTTGTCCGTCCTTCTGTTAGACTCACACGGATGAATTATGTTGAATATCTGTCAGCTGTTAAATTTAACTCCACAATTAGATAATAGCAGTTTAGCTCAACCAATCACCAAGCAATGCTTCATGTTGTTCAGTGTGTGTGTAAAAAGAGCATCAGCAATTACAGAAAACATGATCAGGTTAAAGTGGCCGAATCATTTTTGGTCCCAAATGTTTATAGATATTACTGGTAGTCACTCGATGAAGAATTATGGCGATAATATGTCCGTTGCTCTCCTCACTGCATACAATAGTAAATGAATATCAAAAATGATATCTGGTGTCTGAATAATTTTTGGTTTGACTGTATCGCTCATTATTAGTTAATGAATGAACTAATGGGACCTTATTTGTTAAAGCGTTTCCTTGTGATTGTCACAGGTGTGATATAACAATGATTTCAGAGTGATACACATATGAGCGGATTAGTTTACGTCTTCATTACTTCTGAACGCTAATCTCGCAGACGGTAAACAACTGAGCCGTGGCTGACCAATGGCTAGGTGGTGGGTGGAGTCACAGGTTACAAATACTGGCCCTGAACATCACTGCACACACACACTTTACCTGGACACACAACAGCATCTGCATCTGAACACACAGGTGAGTGTTATGGATGGATGGATGAAAAGATGGAGGGATGGATAGAGAGATGGAGGAATTGATGGATTATGGAGGGGTGGGTGGATGAAGAGATGGGGGTATGGGTGGATGGATGAAGAGATCGGGGTATGGGTGGATGGATGAAGAGATCGGGGTATGGGTGGATGGATGAAGAGATCGGGGTATGGGTGGATGGATGAAGAGATGGGGGTATGGGTGGATGGATGAAGAGATCGGGGTATGGGTGGATGGATGAAGAGATCGGGGTATGGGTGGATGGATGAAGAGATCGGGGTATGGGTGGATGGATGAAGAGATCGGGGTATGGGTGGATGGATGAAGAGATCGGGGTATGGGTGGATGGATGGAGGCATGGATAGAGAGATGGAGGAATTGATGGATTATGGAGGGGTGGGTGGATGAAGAGATGGAGGGATGGCTGGAGGAGTGGATGGATGAAGAGATGGAGGGATGGATAGAGAGATGGAGTGATGGATTTATGGATGGGTGGATGAAGAGATGGGTGATGGAGATATGGATGGAGAGCTGGATGGATGAATGATGAGGGATGGATGGATGATGGAGGGATGATGAAGAGATAGATGGGTGATGAAGAGATGGGTGGATGGATAATGGAGGGATGGGTGATCAAGAGATGG